GCTTCATCCAAGTGAAGAAGACGGTGCTAAGCGAGTGGGAGGAGCTCGAAGGCTCGTTCGTCTCGAACCAGCCCGGCGGCGCTGGGGTCGGGGGACAGGCGAAGCTGTAAGCCCTGCATGAGCCGGATGGAGTAGCCGGGAACGTAGAGAATATCGCTCGCTGCTCGCTGCTCGCTGCTCGCTGCTCGCTGCTCGCGGTGTGGAATGGAATGGAATGAAACAAAATGGACCAGCTAACGCACGGAATCGCAATGGCACTAGAACTAGTAGCGGTACTAGTAGAGAGTAGTAGCCAGGGCAGATCGTACTCATCCAAGATGACCGGGGTGGAAGGAGAATCAAAGAAGAGCCATGTGGTTTGTAGCCATCGCCACGAGGCTGGACAAGGCTGGGTAGCAAAAAAAAGACAGATTGAGCGCCCTCGGCGCCTACAGACGGGTGGAGCACAAGCACATTCAATGCAGTTTAAATCGATTTCCAAGCTTTACGCTTCAAATCTCATGATTGCGTAGTAATATTCACAAATGAAGGATCGCATATGGAATACATCCTCCAGCACTCATAGCTATGCTTAAATGCTCATTTCCTTCCTATGGGGCAATATTCTCGATAGGTCCAGCCACCCATAGTTCCAGCGCCTCTCTTTCAATATTATACCTTCATTATGGTTGATGATATAGGCTGCACGTCCGCCCAATGTGCACCTGCCATAACCCAAATCCCTCCAAACAATTCAAAGATTGTTTCTGATTCGTTCGAACACGCCAACCACCCGCGTTTCGGGCAAAAAGTCCTCCCTTCCTTCATATTTCGAGAACGCCATGACGGCTCATTATCCGTGTCGCCGTGTATGTCTATGCTGGAAGTTCAAATTTCTCCATGGTATGTACAAGTTTTAGGCCGAGCTGCTTCCATGGAAGTGCCTGATGGATGTGTTTAGCCCCGCTCCATTAATCCAGTTTTAGACCGTCGCAAATTGAAACCGACAGTCGTCGACATGCTCGTTGCATCATTAATTTTGGTGTTTCTTCGGTCTCAATAAAAGAATGCCGCGACAAATACTAACGCCGTGAAAGCAGTGGTGATGGAGTATTCCAATTCGAAGAGGACCGTTTGTGGAGCAAACGCGATCTTCTTCGCCTCTGGGGTCGGGTGTGCGACATTAGTCTTCGGGTCGCGTACCAAAAGCTCCTCGCGATCCGGGCAATTGGGAGGGTCGCAGGCATAGGTAAAGGGGATCCAAAAGGAAGAGCACACGATTAACCACGCCAATGGAGGCTGCGTGTCCCAAGTCAGTATGTGCAAGGTAATCAGTTCTGAATGGACTTACCCAGAATGCGTGCGTCAGGAGACCGACAAGCTTACCCCTCAGAGTATGCTGAGTTAGGAACGTTCGATATGATGACAGCGTCACAGCAACGAGGACAAAATAGACATATGCCACATGGAAGCCGGCGAGATAATTGACGCAAATCGTCCAGATGCGCCGCCACATAGGCGCTCGCCTTTTGGGATCTCGCTCATTCAGGGCAGACTTGATCGACCCGGTCGCTTTGAAAGCTTGTCTTTGCCCACCCAGCCAGGTCGGAAGAACAAATGATCTGATGATGGTGAGGGAGATGTACGGGGCCATCCAGAGCTGATACCGGCTTCCTCTTTGCCCAGTGGCGTATCCGGCTGGTATGAAGAGGACAAACTCACACAACCTGTTAAACACCATGTTGGCAAAACAAACACGAATCAACCACCGAAGTTGCGTATCGTTTGCATATGCAACGAGTGGCTTGTTGGCGATCAGGACAATCGGCATGGCGAAGATGGAGAGGGTGAGGAAGATGTTGAACAAGCTGAGAAAGGCGTAGATGAAGCTGGACGACCGCTGCGCAAAAGTCATATGCTTGACCTTGTCACCCCAAAGGCAGAATCGAAGCTTGAAGGCGGTGTCGACTGTGCCAATGGCCCATCGCGTACGCTGCTTGAGATGACCACCGTAATCTTCTGGTACGGTGCCAAACTGCAGTGCCTCATGGACAAAGGCCGTCTTCCAGCCAGAACCAAGCAGCAAGGTACTTGTCGCAACATCTTCTGCCAGCGACCCGCAGGGAAAGTTGCCAATCTGAGCTAGAGCGGTGGTTCGAGCCACATATCCAGAACCTGTGCACCATGCCACTCCCAAAGCGTCTTTGACTGGTTCAGAAACGTGGACGAAGAAATCCAGACTTTGGCAGAGGGGATCGTCTCTTGGAACGTTGTAAAAGAGTTGAGGTGGACAAGCCAGACCCATTTTGTCATCGATCAGCAAATGGGGGAGAACAGCTCTCAGCCATTGTTGTTCGGGTATCATGTCGGCATCCAAAGCGGCCATAAATTCCGAGGCGCCGCCCGGCAAGCTGTGAACGGCGTCTAGTCCGTAGTTCAGATTGCCAGCCTTGAAATGGTGAGGGACGTTGGGGAATTTCGGGCGGCGCATGTAGTAAACATTCGGAATCGTCTCACGCATCTCTTCTAGCACGTTCTTGAGGGGGTCTGACTTGCCGTCGTCGAGCAGGATGACGCGAAATCGATCTTGAGGGTAATCCAAGTCACAAGCTGCGCGAACCGTGTCGAGAATGAGATCGTCGTCCTCGCCGCAACACGTGATAAAGACGTCGACAGCAGGCACGTCATTCCCGACGAGTCTCAGCTTTGGTCTATGCCGTTTCTTGATGATAAACAGGGACCACAACGTCTGCATGAATATCGGTATGGCAATTGAGATTTCAATGGCCACGAAGACCCACGCCAAGGGAAATGGGGCCTTGTAATGGCGTTGGGCGTCGACAATGAAGGTAATGCGCAAGCCAAAGTAGAACCAGTATAACGAGAGGGAAATCAAGCACAGGAGTGGGGCTACCCAGCGAAAAAGCCATCTCTTCTTGCCCGACAGGAACTCTTTGTCGTCTCTCGAATGTAGTTGGGCGATTGAGCCTTCTTTAACCCAGTCCCGTTTGAAGTAAGTCGAGGGAGCGTCGGGAACAAGGGGCTTTAATGTTTCTTGACTTCGCTGTGGACGGGTCAGTGGCCATGCTCTCGAGAGAACGGGCTCGACTTACGAAAGGAGACGGTACCGGATAGGGAGACGAGCTTCGCGTCTGCGACTCGGAATAGGTCGAACCTGCTCCAGGAGCAAACGGGGGGTATCCGCCACTGGGCGGTTCCAACGCACTGTCGGGTACGCTCTCTGTCATGAGATCTGAGAGAGTTCTGTTATGAAGGTCTGATAAACCTGGTCTCCGCGAAAGCCGGGGTTGATCGAGGGACACGCTTTCTCTATAGCTGCCATAGACAGGGTGGACTGTCATGGGCTTTTCAACGAACGACTCTTGACTTTCCCGCAGCGTCGAGGGTGCCGATACGGTTGACATCTCGGTCATGGGTGGCTGTTCGGATCTCCTTCGATCCGCTTTGCGAAGAGGAGGCATGGTGGAAGAACGAGGGCAGTGTACAGGGAAGGGTGGGATGCAAGGGTGAAGCTTTGAGCAGGCTCTGGCCGGGAATGCGTATGTCGTGTCACTGAACGAGCGTCTTCATCGTCCGTTTCCCCAGATCGATCTCGTGCGCTAGCTGATCTCTTTTGTTATACCCGCGTTGGTTGATTAAACAATTAACGAATGTCTGAGCGAGCGTGTTAAGCAGGAGCCGAGGCCTCTTGCGACTGTGAGCCTGGTGAATATACAAAACGAGGGATAAGACGGAGCAAAAGAGCAATGGCAAATTGCACGGCGAAAAGCGAAGAGTGATGGTGGCAGAGTTTGACGGGGTGACACCCTGGGCTTTGGTCTGAGAAGAGGCGTGGCTATCCTGCGCTACAGTACTGTGTTAGGTGCGCATTGAACGACCTTATCATGTCATAGTGGAGTGGTTAGGGCTAGTGGGCTTACAAGTGGGAAAAAGTCCCAGCCCGTAGATCCCAGCGTCACCACCGCGGCGTGGCCGATGGCCGAGAGGAGCGCGTCAACCCGGGAAGGCTGGGGGGGGAGGCAGGCCAAGGGGGGAAGGAGAACAGGTGCTAGTCGCTGGGGAAGACTGGGTTACGAGGTCTTTGGGCGATAACGTGGTGACGGGGGCAGCACGGGCAGTTCCTGAGGGGGCTCACCAGCCTATCTTGACAACCTGGTCCCAGAGCTGGGCAAACAAGGCAATTTTGAAAGATGCAAATTGGCACACGCGGGCGCAAGTGACGAGGCTAGCAGCAGGGCAGGAACCAAGCGAAGCCAGGGGGGGAGACCCTCAAAATTGAGAAACAAGCCCAACCACAAACAGTTTAGGCACTCACGCCTCAGCCAAGCGAGAGTGGGCTAGGAGCCGCTAGGCCCTGATCTGGGTTAGGGGTGCCGTGTCAGTGGGCCATTGACGCCACTGGCGCGCCAAGGGCTGCAAATCTCAGGCTGACAGGGGGGGGTGACAGGCACTCACAGGCACTTCACAGGCAATTGTCTTGTCGATGGGCAAAGATTGCTGAAACGGGCTCCATCCCACTGGGGCCAATGCCGGGCTACGGTCCAATGGCCGCATGGATGCGCGGCCAACACCAACCCGGGCAACGGGGCATGTCGACCACTTCTTTTTTAAAATCTTGCCCGAGACTGAAACAAAATTATCACTTTGCACTTGCCACCGAGCACATTGCATTATTGCTCAATTCAATCACTGCAACCTGCTCCCGCGCCTCTTCCAGCTCTCTCCAGCCGGAAAGGAAGCACGCGTCTCCCGTCCCCCTCCCCCCCAACTATCCACCTGTTTCTTCACCCATCGGTCATAGTCACGGTTATCATCTATTTTTTTCATTCTCAAATCAAGACATCTTCGTTGAAGGGCATTCATTCATTTCCAGCATCAACTCTCACTGTCGCTCACCACCCGCCCTCTATAGTCAACCTACCGAGAACATATTCCATCTATCAATTCATCTGGTCTTCAAAGCAATCCATCGACACCGACCAACCTCCCTCCCGGCCAATATGGGTCTCAGATCTCTCGTCTCGTTCGGCTTTGTGCTCATCCCTATAGCTGTCACCATCAGCGTGCTGCTCGGAATACAAGCATATCGCGAATCAAAAGGACTACCTTCCAACCCTTTTGTGGACAACTCGATCAAATCATCATTATATTGTCAAAAGGCTTTCGGTGTCACTCCGTACACAACCGGCCAGCAGTACACATTGTGAGTGCCTAATGTTGCCTCCCCCCCAAAATCCAATGGGCACGATTGCCTCGTCTGTTTCTGCGCAATTATCAGTACCCCTGTCATGTTTGACAACTCTAAGTTGTCAAGGTTTTTCGTGTTCCTGAACCATCTCCGCGTTGGGTATGGCTTCGGTCTTCCTGGCAAGGATCCGCTACTGTATCTGCAGGGATTTTGTCCGGTTCTCCCAACCTGGATATGGCTTCCGACCCTCCGACATTGATCGGCCAAAATGACACCGAACCAATCATTGTTTGGCGAATGTTAAGACTGACCTGTCCATTCTCCATAGGAACCCGAATCAGTGGGCTCTTCCAGACCACTATACTGGACCAGGAGGGTTGTGTATGAATGTAGGCAGACAACATTGACTATATCGAGAGACTGTCGCTGACGATATGCATAGGTTACAACATTCGATGTAAGTTTCCTGAACATAGACTGCAGGGCCTTCGTCACGAAGGCTCGGTGGATATCTGCCCTACGATGTGATACTGATGACAGGCAGAACGGTAGCTATCCGACAAAGACCTCAGCCGCAGAGTGGTCGATCACAGTAGGTCATTTCTCTGTTCGCTCGGGTTATTTTTGGAAGTGCCATCTTCATTCGAGATCGGCACCTTGTCGGCCAAAGACTGACAATGATTTGCAGTGGCAGTTTCCTCGTGGCCCCCCGACTCAGCCCGTTCACGCATTCCCCAATATCAAACTGGACTCGGCTGTTTTCCCGATTGAAATCTCGCAGGTCTCAGCCATCAACTTCGAGACCGAATGGTACTATGGAGTCGGCGACGACAGGCCGGATGTCCTGAATGTCGCCGACCTGACTGCTGCTCAACTTGACGCCAATGTCGCCATCGACATGTTTTTGGACTCGGATCCCGACAAAGCCACAGATACCGTGCAGGCCAAGTATGAAGTCATGATCTGGCTTGGGCAATTTGGAGCGTCGACACAGCAAATTGGTCTACCACAAGGAGCAATCGCAACACAGGTTGTCAACGGAACGACTTTCTCCTTATATTCTGGCGTGAATGGCTTGGGCCAAAGCGTCCTCACGTGGGTTGCAAGCAATGCTGCGAGTGGGGTTCAGACCTTCAACGCGGATATCGGTCCATTACTTCAAGGTCTGACCGGGTTGGGAGGCCCTACTGTGAATGGTAAGCATCGTCGAAATCCTGGTGCAACGTACTGGAGTTTGATCTCCTCATGTGAACACTCCACTGTGCAGACTCTTATTGCTAACAAAATACATAGACTATCTCGGCTATATTGCGTTCGGCTCTGAAGCCCTTGATTCGGCGTCCAATGTCACTTTTTACAACAAGGTCCTATCCATGGATGTGGTCTCCTCCTAATGCTGATGGGCCACCGTCGAATGAAGCAATTAAGAGTCAAATATGGTAACATGACCACGGTCACATCAATCAATGTCGACCATATCCTACAGAACTCATGTGGGCCAAGTCCGGAAGAGTACAACCTAGCACAAAATTGGTTGATGATTCGGCCAGGGGCATCAGAAAACAACTGCCACCACGATACCGATAGCTGCAATGTGTCCGACGGGAAATCGCAACTTCCGGGATAATGAGACGGTCCTGTTCATGGTTTGCGTCCAAAAAGTTTTGCGATCACCATGCGCACAGCTTCTTCACGTCATTCCAAAGTTTTAACCCCGAGGAAGGCAACTCTACAAAGCCTCATCGCATGGACGGTGGTCGACAAGCCATCTGGAAGGGGTTCAGACCACGAGGCAGGTTGTGGCCGTGGCGGTGATATTGGGATAATTCTTTTCATTGCCATCCTGTCTCTTGGTCAAGATGCAGCCAATTGTGGATGCCACACGCCGTCACGGTGAGACATGCAGAATCAAGATCTCACCCAAGCAACAGGGGATGGGTGGTGTGGGCCAGTCAAAGCTACGAGGATGTTTCCCAGGCGCAGGAACATGCCCAACAAACTTGGCCGTGCTCGGTGGAACCCATCCGGCTCTCCGCCGGAGAAGCGAGCCGGGTCTAAGAGTGATGAATGACGTGGCTGGCATTCCAATCAACAAGTGTGTTTTAGTCGATGGCGCCATTGTGAAATACTATCACGCCTCGACACTGGCAACAGACCGCCTTCGACTCGGGCTAGGGGCGCAGGCGGGTGTCAACTCCCATACAAACCCCCAATGAGCAGGGTGGCTCCGGTTGCATTCAGAGAGCTCGCCCGGCGGCCTTGGATACATGATATCAATAACAAGCTTATCTGAAGGCCATTGTCAATTTTTCATGCAACCCGGGCGAATCTAGGCGAAGATCCCCCGACAGCCAGTATCAGGCGTGCCTTTTCTTATCGAGGAGCCTTTTGTTCCTCCTTGTAAGCACTTTAAAGTTGCTCCAGCCTCCCCAGATTTGTTAGCCTTATCGCTTCCTGTGCCTCGTATTACGGAGTATATCACGCGACCTCACCACCAGCAACTAGGAATTAGGAGTGCTGCATTTCCATTCCTCATGCACAAGTTCGGAAAGCTCAGTCAAAGCTTCTTCCTTTACCGGATCCAGCAGATCAGAGCTGTCATGCCAACGGTGAGTAAGACGGACTACGGAATTCCGATGGCGGGGTCTCCGGGCTTGTTGGCTGGGCGGTCAAAGTTAGTACATGCATCCACAGGTTTATTATATACATACGGAGGATTTCCAAACACTAACTACTGTCCATAACTATCAATTTTGACAGGGCTAGACCACGCTGGGCTGATTCCTAGCAAATGGGGTCCATGATTCCCAGAGTCTCCCGTCGTTATCGCTGAGCAAGTACTTGTCCAGCCCACCACGGTCGAGTCAAGTCGACGCGAAACGATTCGCAGTCGTACCCTCTCAGCGCGGAAGACTCGACTGAGTCCTCATGCTCTTGTACTCTGTACTGGTAGGTCGGTCAGTCGGACATGAATTCTCCTCTCCATCCCTCGGAGGATGCACCAGAGGTAGAGGAAAGCGGCACCAGAGTCGTGACAGCTCATCGTCTGGACTTGCGCGGCGGGAGTCGGGTCTGGGCCTCCTACATGTACCGAGTAACTACGCACTATGTACTCGGCACGGAGGACCTAGTACTTCGCAGCTCAAACAACTGCCCCTAGGTATGTACGGCTAGGCGTAGGGGAATGGAGACTTTCCCTGCTAGGGGGGTAGGCTGCTGCAGTATAGCACTGGTATGAAAACGGAGGGGTTTCGGGCTAAGCAAGAAAGCAGGGAAGTCTTCTTGACGCTTACATTGAATGTTTGCACCCTCATCTTCGTCTTCACCTTCATCTGGCTTGACCCATGTACTTTAGTCCGGACAGGAAGGCTCGAACCAGGCTGGACCGGAGTGAGATGGATGGTATGGGTGGGAAGGGAAGAGAAGGGAACTTGCTGCAGACTACCAGTACTACATATCGCTACCTCCTTTCCTTATACTCAGTTCGTCTTCGCGCGCTCCAATCTCCCCTCCGTCCTCCCGTCGATCCCAACGTTGAACCTCACCGTGCCGTCCTCGCCAGCAACTTCGTCTTTGCCCATCAAGCTGTACTTCTGCCTGGGTTCGCACTGCTTGAAGCCCAGGCCGAACACCCCCGGTTCCCGTCCATTGTACAGCACGAGATCTACACTCTCGCCGTCGCGACTATAGCATTTCGCAACTAGGACATCCGGGAACGGCACGTCGTCCAGGATCGGAGCCTTGAAGACCTGCGCGGGCGGGCCGCGCTGGATCATCTTGGTCCAGTCCTGGAACCTGCCCAGCCTCGCGCGCAGCGTGGTCCCCTGCCACAGCGTGCTGACACCTTTGTTCTTCAGCGCCCCGGTCTTGGTCTGGAAAACCGGGTGGTACTCCTCGTCGATCTGGCGGAGGAGTTCCTGGCGGAGCGTCTCGTCGCCGTACTCAGCGGCCGCGGTCGCACAGATACAGCGGATCGCCCCCTCGCCGGACTTGTAGTTGCCCGCGTCGAGCATGTCGGCGCCTAGGAGGTTCCGGACCTCGAGGCGGCCCTTTTCGTTGTACTGGAGTGTTTCTCTCTTGGCGAACGCTAACCCACCCAACGTTATTGACTGCTCTTGTCTGATATTGTATTGGTGATGAGACGACTTACCCCAGTTTCGGTGTGCGATGTGAGGGAGGTACGAGGCGCAGAGAAGCGAGTTCACCATGTCAGACATGGCACCTGCGAGGCCAGGGATCTTTGACGCGCTCTTTGTCAGCTTGCGTTGTGCTGGGAACGTGAGGCGAAAGCCCTACCGTGAAGCCCGTGAGCTCACTGCGAATCGGCAAAATGGTCCCATCGGGTTCACTGAATTCAGTCTCGAGAGCGTGCTCAAATCGCCCTCGTAATTCCTCGCCGTACTTGTTCCCCAATATGCGGTCGGTGAGGAGAATACCCCCAATACCCACAAGGCTAGATTAGGTGCAATGTCAGCCATGAGTGTCCAGCTTGAAGGAAAAGGGTTGGCTGACTTGCAGGGCGTATATAGCCAGTTTGGCTCGCAAGGGTAGAGGCAGTATGCCGCCTCGTTCATGTTTCTGTAGACTGCATCGGCAACACCCTTGACATCATAAGGAAATTTGAGTGAATCTGTGATCTCGAAAGTCATGCTACCGGGTTTGGTGTATCGGTCGTCTCCCGTGTTGGATTGGTAGATGCCGACGGCTTGAAGGATGTATCCCGTTACCATGATATTGTCTTTCTTGCACGGGTCCCAATCATGTGCGTTGAATTTGCCGGCCATGGACTCCCACTTCCAGAATCTGCGAGGGTGAGAGGCATGTCAACAGGAGTCAACAACATGGTCTGGATGATCCACACTTACTCCATCACCTTCTTGGTGAAGCTGTGGACGAGAGGTTAGCACTGGTAACGTCAGATTGCTGGACAAACACCCACCTCTTTTCAATGGCATTGCGTTGCGCTCGGGACAGATAGCCGTGGAAATTGGGACAGTACACGTTCTGATAGAGACCAAGGCAATTGACGGCCTCGTATAGCTGATATCGAATGGCTGACGTTTGAAACTGGTCGATGACGTCGTGGTAGGAGAAGTCGTCTTTGGGCGTCAGGCCGAGCTCCAAGTACCATTGAACGAAGCGAAGGGTCTGCTCGTCGACCTCGCGCGTTCCTGGCTCGGGTGCCGCGACTGCTTGAGTTTGATTCTTTTGGACTTCCTCGACCAGATAGTTGTTGCGAGTCGCTCGCTTTTTCCGTGCCTCGGCGTTTGCTCGCCGGCACGAGTACGCGATGTAGATTATGCCGCCTATGCACACAGCGGACACCAAGGGACCGGCGAGTTCCAGCACGGAATCTTTGGCCAGCGCCGCTGAGAGGGCGGCGGTACCGACCCAAAGCACAATCGGAAAGATCAAGCCGCCCATTCCAAACCAGGCAAAGAGAACCAACGGGATCAACGCACAGGAGACCACGAACGACAGGATTGAAGGCATAGTACAGACGGCGACGAGACCAGCCCCGGGGAAGAGAAGACCCAGCCCAGCTGCGCGGAGAGCAGGGGATTGGAATTTGTAGAACGACGTCAGTCCTGCTGCGAACAAGCATGCATATTGCATAAGGGTCCGACGTTGATAGTGCCATTTGGTGACACCGGCTCCCGCATTTTCGGGTACAAGGACATCTAAAAGGCAAAAGTGAGCACCGTGATCGCGAAACGGAGACGTTTCCAGTCGCGTCCGTACCATGCCAGTTGAAGTCGCCTACAAGTGATTTCTCAGAAGCCTTGCCGGGACCAGGTATAGCCTGCACTTTGGCAGGGGCCGTGGTTGTCTGCATGAATATGAATAAGTGAACACTTCACTGTGCTAGTACCGCCCTTACCATAGTCGCCATGGTGATAAGGTCAAGTCGCCCGCAACTTGCAACAGTATTCCTAGATTTTGATAGACAGCGAATGGCGAAAAAGAGGGATGACTATCGTAGACGGACGAAACCCATATAGCCTGGAGTGCTTTATGTCTCGGGCTTACCTGTAGGTTCGACCTTACCTAGGTATCTACCAAGGCAGGCACTCATTGTATGCCCCTGGCTTCATTCTTGTAGCGTCGCCGCTTTCTAGACTCTAGCAGCCTCTACAAACCCCGCAGAGTTGAACTGGAGATGCAGATTTGCGGGGGCTCAGATGTCTGTTGCAATGGTCGCCTGTGCAAACCCACGAATCATTGCCACTGACTCGAAGAACATCGGGGAATTTGTAATAAAAGTCGCAGTCACCCCAAGTCTGAGAGTTTGCGAGGGAGGGGAGTAATCAACTTAAGATCTCTCCTGTGGACGAGGTGGTCTGGGTCCAAAGGGTCCAGCTTCTGCCCTGGATTGATGCATCTCTGGCGCCTCGGATTGCTGACCTACCTTCTTCTAGCCAGGTCTCGATGGTGTCGATTCGACCAAGGGCTTGCGAAAGCCACGAGTCGTAGGCTCTGACTCGGATCGGAGAGGGAGGTTGTGAAAGTTGAAGGCGACAGGCTCTCTTCATGGCATCGTTGCTGATGCGTTCTGGAAGGAGTCAGAAAAGCTCTCTCAAGACTGTTCCATTGGCTGACGCTGGCCTTGCTCAGGCACGCGGCTAACCTCGGCCAGTAAGGTTCCTTCTGATCGATGAACTGCCATCCGAGGTCCAGTAGGCCCATGGGGCTCTAGCCGTTGTAGATCGCAGTTGAAGAAATGTGCACAAACGGATAATAGCGATGCCGTCGATGGATGCCTCTGGAAACCCTCTTGTGCATCCCGAGGTGGTTAACCGGACTTGACCTGCCCCGCGCTTCAATTCCCCCTCGTCTTGGGATATCGGCGTCGGCTCCATAAAAGAAGTTGTTGCTTTGGTTTTGTATTATCGATAGACCCTCTACCGCCCTTGACTTCTTGACTACAGCGAGTCGTTCAATCCGGGAACTATTCATAACGCAAGTCATTCTCCAAGATGGGCTCGATCTCAGGGCCAGGCTTTGACGTTTTTAACGGATTTTATAACACCATCAATGGAAAATTGACCAGCACTGAACAAACAAGACACGGCATCAATCCGGCGACAGGCAAACCCAACCCAGAAGTCCCGGTTTCTACTCCAAAGGACGTCGACGATGCCGTTGCAGCTGCCAAGGAAGCATTCAAGTCATGGTCGCAGACTCCTTACGAGAAGCGTCGGGAGTGCGTCCTGGCCTTCGCTGATGCTCTTGAAAAATACGCCGCGGACTTTGGAAGGCTCCTAACCCAGGAGCAAGGAAAACCGGTAAGAGTGTCTCTAGACGATAGACTTGGTCTCGGTACTAAATACCATGGCGACAGGTGCAATTCGGCGTCGGCGAGGCCCACACAGGCGTCCAATGGATGCGGGCTTTGGCCCAGCTAGAACTAAAGGAAGAGGTTGTTGAAGAGAACGATGAGAAACAAGTCATTGTCCGGTATACACCTCTCGGAGTCTGCGTGGGCATCGTACCTTGGAATTTCCCCGTTCACCTAGCTTGCGGCAAGATCGCTCCTTCAGTCCTGACTGGCAACCCCATCATCATCAAGCCATCACCCTTTACACCGTACTGCGACTTGAAGCTCGGTGAACTTGCTCAACAATTTTTCCCTCCTGGTGTCATTCAGGTTCTGAGCGGTGATGATAACCTGGGTCCGTGGCTTACGGCGCATCCTGGCCCTGATAAAATCAGCTTTACTGGTTCGACAGTTACAGGAAAGAAGGTTATGGAGAGTGCGGCTAAAACATTGAAGAGAGTGACTTTGGAGCTGTGAGTGTGATCTTCAATCATCCACCTCTCTTTCCCCTTACTTACATGTCCAGGGGTGGCAAAGATCCCGCTATTATCTGCAAGAATGTTGACATCAATGCCGTTGCTGCAAAGGTACGAGTCGTTTTTGGATCTCAGCTCGTCTGACGGCGGTCACTAATGGCGACGGCAGATCGCCACGCTGGCCTTCCTCAACTCAGGCCAGATTTGCTTGGCAATCAAACGTATCTATGTCCACGAGTCGATCCACGACAAGTTCAGAGACGCCATGGTCGAGTTCACCAAGACGCTAAAGGTTGGCGACGGTACTGAGGAGGGAGTCTTCCTCGGACCTATCCAAAATAAGATGCAATACGAGAAAGTTAAGGTATGTCTCGCCCTCGCCGTGCGCAATAGATCTGGCCTTGTTTTCTGGCACTAACATTGTTTTAGACCTTCTTCAATGATATCGAAAAGGAGAAGTGGACCGTTGCAGTTGGCGGTAAGAATGAGGACAAGCCTGGTTACTTCATCACACCTACCATCATCGATAAGCCTGCAGATGATTCCAGGATTGCCACTGAGGAACCATTTGGGCCCATTGTCCCTCTTATGACCTGGACTGACGAAGCCGATGTCATTGCTCGCGCCAACAACACCAAGATGGGTCTCGGTGCCTCCGTATGGTCTGATGATCTGGATGAAGCAACACGCATCGCCCGACAGCTAGATGCTGGCAGCGTCTGGGTTAACACCCATCTCGAAGTTGACCCTAACGCGCCTTTCGGTGGGCACAAGGAGAGTGGTATTGGCTTCGAATGGGGCATTGGTGGCCTCAAGTCGTTCTGCAATGTCCAGAGCTTGTTCTTGAAGAAGAAGACTTCGGCTTAGTTTGCGGCTAGAACGAATAACTGTACCTTGTGCACGTCACAATGCCGCTTCTCAGCAGATTTCCTTCGACGTGTCGGATGATAGTCTTGCGCAGAACGGAATAGCAGCCGGGAGCACAGGTATAATTGTTGAAAGAGTGCCCACTGTCAAACACCAGTAGGCTGAAGCCCCTTTTAGTTTCACATGCCTTCGTTAGTACTCCGCAGTACTGGAATTGCCAAGCATACGGTGGGTAATTAGTGACGCCTAGCGCAACAGAATAATTGCGCGACGGGAATTGGCAAAGGAGGTGATTGAGGACAGACATGCACCTTGCAGGCCGAAGTTGCGAAACACGGTCAACGGAAGGTTGAGCATTTCTTGTGCCTGGCATATATGACTTTGAACGCACATAGCAGCGTTCGTCCATCAGGGACGTTCGCATCTTTCCTGTCCTCGACAAATGGCAACGTCTTCTCCCGCTCCCGCTCCACAATCCGCGCCTGCGGCCAACGGCACATCGACTCTTGAACTCGACGTATCCAAGTTGCACGCCTTACCAACCGAGCAGCAAGATCTGTACCTGTTGACATTTGTCTCCGATTTCCAGCGCTATGTCGAACAGTTGTCGGTAGAGTCTTTGCCTTCGTATCAGGCCTCGATTAAGAAGGAGGTCATCAAGATTGTTGGACTCGGCGCTCCGGTCCCTTCTCGTGTCGTTCGAAACGGTCTCGGCAGGATTCTAGCAGATGCGTTTGGTCGTGGCAGCCGGAGCCTCCTCTACGAAACCATCAACGACCTCTTAGCCATCTTAAACGCGGGAAAGACAGACAAAGAGTTGGGTTCAAAACATGCGTCCGTGGTTTGTCTAGGCGCCCTTTTTCGCGCGGCGGGCGACAGTGCTATTAGTCTCTCTGGGCTGACGGTTGCAACAATTCTGAAACTCCTGAAGTCTTCCCATGCTGGAGTCAGAGGGTGCGTATTCCGAGCGCTCGGCGGACTGATCATTGGAATAAAAAGGAGCCTGGATGAGCATGTGGCCCGGGATATCTGGAAACAAGCCCGGCATGCTGCAACAAGTGAAAAGTCCAACTTTGTTCAAAGATGCGCGTGTTCATGTCTCCGCAGTCTTGCCAGTGAGACCGGCTACTTCAACAATTCGAATGACTTTGACAACCTGAAAACGACCATTTGGAAAGCATTCGACAGCTCAACTCCATCTGTCAGGCATGCTGCCGCCGCTGCCATGGCGGCTGCACTGAACCAAGCATATTCTTCGAATGGTCATGCAGAAGTGCCGGTATTGCGGAAACCTAAAAAGTCCAAGAAGGCGGGAGACGACCTTGATGAGGAAGTCGAGGCTGATAGGCCTGACTCACCTTCACCGGGACAGGTAAAGGCGTCTATGCGATTGACATTTTCTTTGAACGAAGTTCTCCGGGTCCTATCGCAACAGTATTGCCGGGCGTCCACAACGAACAGATCTCGTGCAGGTATTGCAACCTGCTACAAGCGTCTCCTTCACCTACTGCCCCGGAAATCTTTGGAGGAAAACTATGCCTCGATAGCGGTGCACACATACACCGAGTTGCTGAACCACCCAACGATATCCTTCAATCGATATCGACTGCTCCTTACCCGGAAACTCGTTCAGTGGATCCTCGCCGATGTGACGGTCCTCTTGACGGAAAATGCTCAAGTCCATGCAGCACGCTATCTGATTAATGACGTTATTAAGAACTACCCTCAGGTCTTGCCAGAAAGACGCGAACCGTCAAAGCGGATCCTTGCTGGAGCCCTAACGACTCTGACGGACTTGCTATTGCGGCTAGGGCCAGCTGCTAGCGTATTCCACGATTCATGCAGAGAAGCATTATTCCAAGTCGTCCAGCACCCAAGTCACACGGTGCAAAGTCACGCCGCTCAATGTTTCAGGGCTTTCATACTCGCTTGTCCAAGTCAGCTCATGCGCACCATCGAGCATGGCATGTCGCAATTGCAAAGGGAGTTTCAACCGTCTGAAGCCAAGCAACCGCACCGAAAGTCAATCGGGTTCGCCGCGGCCATCGCAGTTGCTGTAAGTTGTGCACGCCAAAGACCGCTATACGGCTCAGTCCAGACATATTCTGCCATTTTCACCTTTGCAACCGACTTGCTGAAGTCAAGTGCGGCCGCCGAATTACGACTTTCAGCAATGCAAGTGCAGGTGGCTTGGACCTTGATAGGGGGTTTGATGAGTTTAGGACCAAGCTTTGTAAAAGTGCACCTAAATCAGCTCATGTTACTCTGGCGGAATGCACTGCCTCCTCCGCTAACTCACGAAAATGCTGTCAAGAGAGGCCATCTGGAGCTAAGCTTTTTGTCACACGTCCGCGAATGTGCCCTCAGCGCGCTGCTCATGTTTCTATCCTCTTGCAGTGGTTTGGTCACCACTGATGGATCGAAGCGGATCTCAACCATGCTGCATAACACTATTCTGTTCCTCGACAGCTTACCACCTGCTCGGGAGGCAGAGGATGTCTCTCACCGATTACTGCCTGCTCTCCAGCTACAAGACTTTGCGATTTTACTCCGGCGACGAGTGCTTCAGTGCTTCATTTCTTTGGTTAGCCTGAAGCATCTCGAGCAAAGCGATGTTGTGTCTCACTCGGATCTAATAGGTCTTACAATGAGGACGTTCACGGATCCTGAACGCCCGGTCCTAAAAAGCTTGGAGGCATCTCTGGCAAATACTGCGAGTAATTTTGAGGGATTGTGGGCCACCGAAGACAACTGGAGCTTTGGTGTCAGTAATCTGGCCGACAGCTTCGACACCTATCTCCCTTTTGAGAATCACGTTGAACTGAGCACCGACATGTACACTGAGCAGGAAATCTCCATACCAGATATTCTGGTCCGGTGCCCTGCTTTGCCGGCAATTGAACACGATCCCGCGTTGCTGTCAAGACCAGAGAATCGCTTGGATGAGGCGGAGATTAGTTCACCTGCAACGTCTTGCGTGAATCTAGCAATCAAACTCTTCGCCATATCGTTGCCTCTCCAATCTCCCCGGATACAGGAGAGCACAGTGGAGCAGCTAATTACTGCTGTATCTCAGCCTCTTCAACGTGAACCGGGCAGAAAGGCAGCAATGCAGATCAATACGGCCCTTGCTTTTCTATGTGCGTTTGCTGTTGCGAACAATGAAACCCCCTACAATCCTGGGAAGATGCATGTCGGCGCGGTGGGACAGGTCATCACTGAACTCTTGGACAGATACCTGTGCAACTCGGATTCAATCCTGCGTCACATAGCTGCTCGTGCTATAGGCCGCATATGCAACCTTGCCGGAACACAATTCACTAACAGAGAGGTCAAAGTCCTCATCGACACAATAGTGGCAAATCGAGATCCCAGCGCTCGTGCTGGTTGTGCCCTTGCGCTCGGATACATCCACTCAGAAGTAGGAGCCATGGCAGCGAGTCTTCATATCAAGTCCATCGTCGGAGTTCTCCTATCACTGTGCAGCGACAGCCACCCTACTGTTCATTACTGGGCTCTCAAAGGATTGCTTCTGGTGGCTGAGTCCGCTGGACTGGCTTTCTCAACGTACGCCACAAGCACTCTGGGTCTCTTGGCTCAACTATATTCCAGTGACACTCATAACGAGGAAGCTGCGTCACTAGTCACATCTAATCTTGAGCTCGAACTTTTCACCCCTTTGGCGCTTGCTCAATGTGTTGACAGCATCATCAACGTCTTAGGCCCCGACCTGCAAGATGTCTCCAAAGCTCGCAATTTGATACTGGTATTGATCGGCTATTTGCAGAAAGAGCCTTCGGCACGACTGCGCAGTTCGAGTTATCAGTGCCTTCGTCATCTCTGCATGTACGCGCCAGCACATCTTCAATTTGCCAAGTATGTCTTGGATTTGCAGGCGAATCTTTCGTCTGATGAGGATCTACTTCAGTCCGCTGCGATGAAAGGGCTTGGGGAGCTGATGAAAAGGAATTCGTCTGAAGTTGCGCGCGTGGCGACTTCTAAGCTGAGCGATGATTTGTGGGCACGCCTGGATGATAATCCGGAAAATAAGGCGTTACACGGGATGCTACAGAATTGGATGCAGCAAACGATTCTTGTTGACACAGCAGCATGGATCGAAAAATGCCAAAGCATACTTTCCAGGACGAGAACAAAGGCTTCGGCACCACCCCGAGTCACTACAGCCAAGACGGCCCTGCCAGACTTGGCAGATGAGGAAGTGGCAGGCTTTGCTGCTGCGGCAGCTGCTGCACAAGGCGAAGCCCCCGATGCCGCTCCAGAAGGACAAGAGTTTCTCCGCTGGCAGACACGAGACTTTGCCATGCGGTTGCTCAGCGAATCAATGGATATCATACAAGCAGCCATGTCGCCAGATCGAGTGATTCCGGCCGAAGAGGTGCTACAAAACAAGGTTGCGGACGTCGTTCGCGTTGCCTTTTCAGCCTCGACTGCTAACGTCGTTGAGCTCCGCATATGGGGTCTTCGGATAATTGACCAGATCCTGAAATTATTTGGCAAGACCCCGGATCCCGATTTCTTGGAAGCGTCCCTTCTCGAGCAATATCAGGCTCAAATCAGCTCAGCTCTGACGCCGGCCTTCGCTGCCGACTCGTCACCAGAACTAGCGGCTGAAGCCATTGGCGTATGCGCTACCTTTGTAGCTACAGGAATAGTGACCAACGCGGAACGCATGGGTCGTATTTTCAAGGTTCTTGCCATGGGAGTGGAAAATCTTACTCGACCTACGCCAGAGGCAGCAATTGGTGATCTGAAAAATCTCAGCCCAAATGCACAGGCTATGCTTAAGATGGGCATCCTCTCTGGCTGGGCACAGCTGCAGCTTGCAAGTTCTGAGCAGCCATTTCTCGAAGAAATTCTGCAACCATTCATTCCCAAACTCGCGCCACTTTGGCTTACATCGCTACAAGAGTTTGCCGCCTTGCGGTTTGAACCAGAAATTTCAGATACCCTGGGAGGCGAGATTGCGGGCGGTAACTTGGACGAGCGATATGCTTCCTTCAACCGAGAAGTCCGTCTTAAATTCTATCAGAAGAACTGGCTCAGCATAGTGGATGCCATTGCCGTACTCGTGGAAAAGGACAGCGAGTCAGTGTTCGACGCACTCGATAACAAACGCCTCTCTACCGTTGATGGCGCTGCAGACGAAGGTGTTGCACCTGGAAAAGACATGAGCTTCCGTGAAGAACCCGTTGCGTTCTTTTTCATCCTTTTCGGACTGGCCTTTGAGGCATTGGTGACACAAGCTAGGGAAGACCCTTCGCAAGCGCTATCAATTCTGCAAGCTCTCAGAAAGATTCTGACCCCCGAGGTTTGTGGCAATGCGATCTACGAAGAAGCTGTGTTCAATGAAACCACGGATACCTTGGATCGGCTTGCACTCACCAGCACAAGAGAGACGCAGAGCGTTCTAGTTGAAATCGCCCGGAATTTGTCAATGGATCACGTGGCAGCGAAAAATCAAGATCGTGATGAGAAGCTCTCAGATGATATTGAACAGCTCTTTGAGTTGACGAGAATTATCATTTTGGTCATGACGGGTCTCATACCGACACTCGAAGACCCTCCAGGTCCTGCTTTTCGGAGGCTTGGAGAGGACGGTATTGCTCTTGTACGACTCTGCTTCCAAGCGCTAGTGGATGTTGCCTCGGTATTTCCAGCTATCATCCGAGCGGATTTACATGCCTGTATCATTCACAGCTACTGTACCCTTCTTGCAACTGGTATCTGTCAAGACGAAGTGCTGCCACAGGTCATGCCAATATTCAAAGCGTTCTTACAGGATGTTGTTCAATCCGGATCCGGTGAAGTCACTTCCAGGCTAGTCCGCGGGTGCTTGTACCGCATGTTGTCAGTACTGGCTGTCGCTCAGCGCCGAGAAAACGAACATGCGATTACCTGTGCAAAGAACACGTTGCTGTCCATGACGATCTTGCTCACCACAGCCAGCTCGGTCATTCCAGCCAACGACGAGCTTATCATAAAGTCCCTCTCGGAGTTACTCGACTGCCTTCAGGACGTGGGTCTTGCAAAAATAGCAGCTGGCTGTATGCGGTCGTTACTTGTTACCAATCCCAAAACACCTTGTGATGAAGCGGTTGGGAGAATGCTATGGGCACGACTCGTTCCATACGTGAGCGACCCAGAAGCCGAGGATCCAGAGAATGTGAAGACAGCGTTGACCCAAGCTCTCGCAGCGGCTGTGGTATCTATCAAAGCTGTCGGTCGCTTTGCTGCTATGTCGATATTGGTGCCGTTACTCCTGCTTCGTGCTAAACAAATCCCCAGAGGAAGCAGCCTGGATGCTATGCGGAAGGAGAGCGCTGCCAGGCTGCTCGAGCTTGTGGCGACCGATCAAATAGCGTTCAAAGTGACGGTCGGTTTGTTGGGCGAGGAACAGCGCTCGGACTTGGAAAGCTTGCTGCGCGCCGCAGGAGTTGGCAAGAAACAGGAGGCTGCTTCGGCAGAAAGTGTTCAAGCAAGGCCAGCGATTGAACTGCGCATGGATTTTGGATAAGAGTGGAATGACATACCCGTATATATAGAGAAAACAAATAAATGGTGAAACGACAGGGACCATTTCGCACTCTGTCGTTATTCGAATGTAGCGAGTCCTCGCGGGGTTTGGGCGATGAAACCTCAGCCTTGTCGACTTCGACATATGAGTTGATTCTTTTTTCTCTCATTGGTGCTTGGTAATATGATCTAATGCGGCAATTTTGGACGAGGCTCGCTCAACCAAAACTTTAATCTTTGCATGTCCTGTTTCATCAATCTCATACATATATCACTCACAGCCCCTCCCTCCGGTTTGCTTGCATAGAACAGAGAGAGAAGAAAGCATTACGCTTAGGCACTTACAGCGCTCTCCGGTGACAAGGTAGAATGGAGTACGATCCCAAAGTGCCGACGTACCAGACGTCGGACCCTACATCCTTTGCACACAAGTCTGCCCGGGAGCGCTGGCCGGCCATAATCACAGGCGCCATCGACGACGTTCACCGGACCGTCGCCAAGCTCCCAGATTCGGACAAGGATGCCCTAGCAGAGGGCAAATCCATCATCTCGTCGCTGGGGTCCCTGAAGTACGAGCTACAACATAATCGGACATTATCCCCGATCCCGGACGACGGGTTCCCGGACATCGAGGGATACAATCTGGAGCTGGCGGCGCAGGGGCCTCCGACGTGGCACAACGTCGAGTGGCTGTTCTCCGAGTGCTACCTGTACCGCAGACTGGCGACGCTGTTCTCGACGGCCAAGACCACGTTCTGGCGCAACTACGATCCGTTCTACCGGCAGAAGATGGAGACGTTCAAGTCGTCGCGCCCCGCGGTGCTGGAGCTCGCGGCCGAATACCGCGGGATTATCACGCAGATCCGCGCGTCCAAGGCCCATGCGCCGGTTGCGTTGGACGTGACGGACGAGAGGGCGATCGAGGAGGCTGAGAAGCTGCTGTTCGTCGAGATGGCAGAGATCTGCCTCTGGGGCAACGCCACCGACCTCAGTCTCCTGACGAGTTTGACGTACGATGACATCCAGAAGCTGCAGGGCAGCAGCGCGCGCAAAGAGTCGGAGAAGAACATCCTGGTCAACGACCTGCAGCGGGCGTTCCAGGTGTTGAACGCCGCGCACCGGGAAGGCAAGCAACGGAGGCGGGTGGACATCGTGCTGGACAATGCGGGCTTCGAGTTGTTGGTCGACCTGGTGCTCGCGGGCTACTTGCTCGCCACGGGCCTGGCGACCGAGGTCGTCATGCATCCCAAGGACATTCCGTGGTTCGTGAGCGACGTCATCCCCAAGGACTTCCAGGCCTTGCTCCAGGCCATGGCGGACCCGAGGGCCTTCTACGAGAGCCGGGACCACGCGGCCGGCGATCAGGGAGCCAACAACGACACAACAACAAAAACGACGCCGCCGGCACCGCTGTCGGACGACGAGGAAGCGGCCATCAAATTCCTCTTCGACGACTGGAGTCATCTGCACAGCGAGGGCAAGCTGATCCTCCGACCGAACCGGTTCTGGACGCACGCGGGCGGCTTTTGGCGCATGCCGCACGTCGCACCGGGGCTGATGGAGGACTTGAAGGAGAGCGAACTGGTTGTTTTCAAGGGAGATTTGAATTATAGGAAGTTGACGGGGGATGTATGTTCTTTTCCTTTCCCCCTACCCCACTCCTTGCGCCCTTCTGTTGTGCTTTGTATTCAAAACGTATTATCCCTCGTTCCGGCGCAATACGGAGTCAAAGGGGAGTCGGCTAACGCAGAAATTCTCAACGCCAGGCTACGTGGCCCGCCACCACGCCCTTCACGGAAGCAATCGGCCCGCTCGGTCCATCTTCAGGCATCAGGGTGCTGGCGCTGCGGACCTGCAAGGCAGACGTCGTGGTTGGGTTGCCCGAAGGTAAAGACGAAGAGATACGGGCGATGAAAGGCGGTGGCGGTGATTCGGGAGCCAGGATGTGGGCGTGGAGCGGGAAGTGGGCTGTCGTGCAGTTCTCCGATGGCAAGGCTTGAGTATGATGGACAAAGAGAGCTCTCTCCTATATGGTTGTCTCAGTGTGAGTGGACTTGAGCGCTGGAGTAGCAGGTAGACCGGTGCCTGCGCGGTACTTTTTAGAAAATAGAGGGAGCGTAGAGAATGCGTAACAAGTTGTGGGTGCATAGGCAATAGCCAGGCCAAGTTCATTGTGATACCTTTCGCCTGCACCCGAGTTTTGGCTGAGACGGCAATGCACCCGACTCTGTCATACTCGCAAATGAGATCACCTGTGCTTCGCAAGAGATTTGAACCGACTGCCTTCTCCTGAAGGAATGAATGACACATTGTTCTCGCACGGCTGATCATCTTCTTGTCATCGTTCGAATGGTGGAGTGATCCACCCCTTCCTGCCCGGCCTCGTGCAAATAAAATGATGCACCGAAACGGGGGGAAGGTTAACTGCACCATTTTTCATGCTTTCCGTCTGTTGAAATTGGCATGAAGAGAACAATAGAGTAGCCAGCCAGCCCCCGGATCAATATCTGGTACCCGGCGAGACGGAATGTTCGCTTTTTCCCCCCAACCTGTCGTGCTCGGGACACGGAGAAAAGAAAGAGCGTCGCCTCGAGCTGCTAACCTTCAATCCATTCCCTTCCCTTTTTCTGATCTTTAATTGAGCCGTGATCTTAATTGAGTCGGAAACTCGCGGAACTCGGGTGTTGACAGTGCGTGGTATCTCTGGAAGGATATAGGCCCCATTCAGCCAAGCAAGGCTGAAGCTAGAACTTTGATAAAAGGCTGTGAATGATGTGGGGGTTCCCGCGAACCCAAGTTCATTAGCCGCCACTGAGAATGGTTAGCTGAGCAGTCTTGTGTGGCCTGCACTTTCGACCGTCATTATTGCCATGGAGTGTCGACTTGGCTGTTGGTTCCGGTCAACAAACCCCTTCCTGCGCATCCCGTCCGCAAACTGGCAGTTGGCCGTTGCCAGGAGTCCACAGCCTCTGCAGATGAAATTCTCGCTGAGCCTGCGGGTTTCTCGATACCCATCCGCTCGCATGCCGAAATCCTTACCGAATTCAATAGTATGATTCAGAGCATGTTCCTCCCAAGATGCCCCATGAGGGATCATGGTCCGGACGCAGCCGGATAGGTCTTAGACCGGGTGGATCAGTCAGCGAGGCAGTGCAAGATGGACACCTGGTCTTGCATGAAAATATTTGTTCAAGTAAACCAGCGAGTAAAGGGGCATGGAAAATCTGAGGCCTGAAGCTAAGAAAACGACGAGACAGCATGATGATGAGTCCCGTTCCGAGCCGCATGGCACATCTTTTGCACAAGATACCCGGCGTCGGCATCGGTTCGGCGCCCTCATCGTGCGTAAAAAGAAGTAACCGGAGGTGCTCTGATAAATCATCTCCGTTCCGAGATGCGATCTTGACCAGAGATACGAAAAAATAAGCTTGAACTTGAATTAAGGGCTGTGAGGAGCCGTTTAGCGGACCGAGAAAGCGCACAAGAGCGGACCATGCAGATCCCATATCATACCTGTGGTGTACTGTACATACCCTGGATGGAGTGGATGAGATATCTCGGTCAGCCGTAGCTTTGTCGTGAAAGAGGTGAGATGAGGTGTGATGTGATGTGGTGTGGTGTGGTGTGGTGTTGTGATTAAAGTACTGGGTATGCAGCAGTAGAGATCTCATTAAGGCGGAGGTGGTTAGCAGTGGATTACACACCGAGCACCTACCTACAAGTATGTAGCCGGAAGAGCTGGACCAATATAGGCGAAAGGGGAAGGGATTGCCATTGTACCGAGTACCACCAGGAAGCTACTGCCATACTAGCTAAGTAAGCGCCCTACTTGGTAGGTACAGTGTTCGTAGGGATAATAGAGTCCCCCTTGGTACCCCTCAAGCTCTAAGCCCCCCAAATCTACCCAAGTGGCTAGATGCATACGGGGAGTGTTCTTTACTTAAAGTGCCCCCTACACTAGCCGGGATAGTAGCCCACTCGCCCATGGATCCACGCCCACGCTCACGCTCACGCCACAGGGGAACCAGCAGTGAGTGGGTGGCTCTAACCAACAGCTAACGGCATCGAGCTCTCCCTCGCTCCATACTGGTGCCACTCATTTCCTCGTGTCTTCTCCTTCCCCTCTACCAAGTATTACTGGTGCCTGTAACTACACCCTCCCCCCTCTCTCGCCTGCCTCACGCGTCGTTGCCAGCGGCCGCCCAAACAATAGGCGCGATCCCCCAAACCATCCCAAAATCATCTCAGTCCGTTGGCGTCACTCGCCAATTCAGAATCTTTCAATCCAACGGGCTTCTCGCTCCTTCGCACCTCACGACACCGAACACCTCCTTTCAGCTTTCTTGTAAACTAATCCTTTTCGCTCGCTCGCTGGCTGGCTTTGCTCTATCAGTACCCAACCATTCGACTTGTCCCCGATACCTCCTTCGCCCTAGACCTTTTCTCACTCAGCGCCATGCGTTGCTGAGTTTTGGCTGAGCCTCCTTTTTCTGCCCACCGCCAACTTCGCCCTCACCCTGACCCTCACTCTCGTTCTATTCGCCGCGCTCCATCCTAATTTCCTACCACGACAATTTTCAAAAGAAGAAAAAAACCCCGAGACCCGTGTCATTGGATTACTTCTACCTCCGCTCGGGACCTCCATAGTCCGCTCCAGAACCGCCTGAAGGGGAAGCACTTGGAACACGATATATCCTCGGAGACCGCAATCCGCAATCCGCATACCGCGTTTTCAGTCCCTCGTGACTGTCCACGTCGAACCTCATGCCGATGCCTATTCTTACCGTCGCTATGCCCGTGCCCGACTATGCCAAAGTCGCCAAGGAGGGGAAAAACTCACAGCTGTCGTCCTTCCTACGCTGGGTGCAACTGAAGAAATACCAATATGAAGTCACTTTCTCCCTCTACATGCTCACGCCAACCGAGAAGTTCATCTTCAGTACGCTTCCCCCCTGCTCTTTCACACATTCTATCCTGCCAGATAACTAACTCCGTCCTGTCTAGATTTGATCCTTTTCCTGCTAGTCTCCATGCTGGTCACTGCTGCAACGCTCTACCTTCCCAATCACGTGATCGTCATTTACCACCGCATCTGTTATTATATCTCCGGTGAATTCGCCTACAAGACGTCGACCAACCTCTCGGGGGAAGCATTAACTCTCGCGGGAGATGGCCTACGGATTACTGCAGACGCAATAGATTCGGTGGTCACTCCAACGTTGCGCGTGGTTGAATCAGCCAGGGAAGCGTTAAAAGAGCTTTGATACTTTGATGATACCCCCTATGTGCTTTATTGGTGCTGGCGTTTGTACGGCCATGGTGTTCGGGATTGACCATTCGGAGTGGGAGAATGTCTGATGTACGCGGCTTGTTGCTGCCCAATATGCTCACAATGAAGATTCAATCTCCGTACGGCGTTCAAGCGCCGGTTGTTTAATACATCCTACCACGCGGCTGCTGGAGCTTGGAGGATTGAACTTGTGGTGAAGGGTGTTTTGGATTGAGTGGATTGCTTTCCTTGCATTGACACCGACCTCAGCACTCGGCCGCGACACATTTCTTGCACAGCTGGCCCTGTCACTGCTCCGCCTGGGTCGCCAGAGTTCCTGTCGCCCATTTGTCAATGCGCCATCAGCCGCCCCCGAATATGCGGGCCCAAAATGGTATAATGTACAGTAATTCTTCCGCCCGGGGCTAGTGATGTAATGTAATGTAATATAATATTATTTTCCACATGTCTTTGCGTGATGTTCTCTCCAATGATTCCCATTGCGCCGTCGCCATGCAAATGCAAACCCAGGGGCCAGTATGTGCGGACAATTCCAGCATGATCTGTCCGTTTCGTTTTCGCACATGTTTTCAAACCGTCTCTTTCTGCTCGTCCACCACTTCGCTCTCGCTCTCACCCCTCGCCCTCTGGGCGGCAAAGGCGACCTTGGCCTGTTCCAGCGCCTCTCTCTTCTCTTTCTGCCTTTGCTCGCTCTGCTCCCTCATGAGGCGCTGGTGGCGCTCGATCTCGGCCCTGATCTCCTCCTTCTCGTAGGGGATCTTGTGCGACTGTTCGGGCGTGGGCCAGAAGCCCGGCACGGCGAAGCGGTTCTCCAGGTTTGTCCCGAAGTAGTACATGTAGCCGATCGGGAAGGAGAGGTAGAGTCCGAACTGTTTCATAGAGCGGAGGGGAGGGGAGTTAGTAAAGACGAAAAGGTAAAAAAAAAATATGATGGAGAAAAGAAGGAATCAACATGTGGAGGAGACAGATGGTCGTGTTGAGGCGAAATACCCCACCGGGCGGTGGGAACGGGAGGGAGAGGGTTTATCGTAGTGTAGATATGTATACCTTGAAGATCTCGAGGTTCGTCCCGCGCAGCGTGCGCTCAATGAATTTACGAACCACCATTATCACCGCCGTCGCCTCGCGGGCGTCCGGTGCCCCCCAAGAAAACTGAGGGAGTGGGAGGAACTTCTGCACACCGTACTCCCGTAGATGGGGATGTCGATATCTCTTTCACGAGAAGAGAGGATGCTGGAGGGAGCCAGGGAACGTATGTATGCGTATGAATAGGCGTCTGTAAGTGTGTGGATGATTCGGAGCGGAGTGCAGGAGGGGAGGGAGGGTTCAATGTACTAGCAGAGAAAATGAAGGAGGAGCAGGAGAGGTCGCGGATGGTATCTGCACCAAGGAGTCCCTCGCACGAGGTATGTAGATATTTTCGGGAACTTGGAGGAAATTCTCGCCGCAGAGCAGAGGATTTGTCCAGGCGGAGGAGCAGTCGCAGCAGTGGGAGAAGTGGCATGACCATCTGCTTCGTACCTACCTGGTCCCCAATTTTTTTTTGGTTGGCGAAGCTTGTCCGCAGCCTCGCCCGCATCTAGGTGAGTTGAAAGACGCCAGCCTCGCGCTGCTTGATCGGGCGCTTGGCATTTCAGCCTTGCTTACAGCGATTCATTGCTTTTATTGGTACGAGATGAACTGCATTCTCTGTTCTCTATGTATACCTATGTAGGTCAAGGTAGGTGTATATGGTCTATACAAATGGTTACGTCCAGTTCATACCTCTTGCTGCCTTTCTTTTTCTTCATTTCCCCTTATCTTCCTCTCTTCATCTTCCCTCTTCTTCGCCCTCCATTTCAACCGACTTTGATCATCACCACCAACAGCGGCAGTGTAGCCAACTCGACTAACCCAACCAACGTGAGAGTCCAGCCGTTTCTCATCGCCTCAATCATTGGATTCGTCGCTGCGCTCGCGCCCGCACCCAAGAGGCACCGGACAAGATTCGACGCAGCGCTGGCCGTCGCGGCCCTTTTCCGGTGTAGGTTAATGACCAGGACGCTGAGGGTATTGAACCCGACCATCGTGGTATACCCTATCGCACCAAGCATGATGATCGGCCCTGCTATGCTGACTGGCCGTTCCAAAAGCCATCCATAGACGATGGTGAAAATGGCCCCCGAAGGCGAAGAAGGGCATTCCGATCTCCAATCTGGCTCGCTCGATCGGCATCTTGGTCAAATCGCCTTGTCTCTTGCGGTCAACTTCCAATCCAGCTTTGAGTGCATGTCTCCTGAAATTTCCATCGAGAATCCTCGTATTAGTTATCGTTGCCAAGATGGTCCCTACAACCTGAGGGATGAAGAGAAATCCTTGCAGCGTACTGCTCAGGCCGTAGATATTGTGGAATTGTACCGTGAGACTGGCGGAGATGGCGTAGAAGCCTGTGTAGATGATACCCATGTACAAGAGCAAGATTGCAGTCTCTGGATCACTGACAATGGTTGGGGAGGCAAGGACGTCCCATTTGCGCTTTCGGATATTGGCCTTCTCCTTCTCTGTCCCGTCTTGTGGAGTGGCCTTTTGTCGAGTTGTGAATGATGAATATGGTCGGTCATTTGTTGGGGTCCGTTCAATGGTGGTGGTGATCCCACTTCGGGCCTTAGATTGTTTGTCTAATATCTCAACATCTGCTCGGGCATGGACCGTGCCATTGTCTTCATCTTCTTGCGTCGTTGCGTCTAAGGTAATTTCGTTCTTGTGCGCGTTGCTGTCAGACGCTTCATGGGAAGTCATCCTGTCAGCGGGCTTGTCTTCCATCTGGATAACTCACTTCGGTGCAAGATAACGTTCCAGACACAGGCTGCGATTGTTGGAGCAAAGGCGGCATGGTATGGTTCAAGGTCTCGTTCTATTCGAGTAAAAACACATAAATGCATGAGACCATGGTAAGGAAAGGCGGTTGGAACTCAATAGTACAATTCAATTAACCTCGTTGTCGACGGTGATCGTCCCTTGTTATTGGTTGTATCAAGCCAGTGGAGCGTTTTTCAGGACCGGTAACGGCCCGATTGTCCGGTCCTTTTGGGCTGGAGCAATGATGACGAAAACCTATTGTGGCCCTCTTGAATAAAACCGGCAATCTCTTGTTGTCAGCGAAGCTTCGATGGCACTTTCAGCATCAGGTCTCGGAAGAAAAGACATCTCTCATGTGGACGATGAACACGCTGGGGTCGATGTAGGACTCCAAACAGGATACCGCTTCAAGGCGGGCTCTTGTCTTAGCACTACGATTTCGGCGTGAATCTGGCGACAATCAAGTTCAAATCATTGTCGTGCGGCCGCGGCCACTTCGCATAGTAGATCCACTTCTGCTCGTCCTTATCCCACTTACGGTGCGGCACAAAGGCGCCGACGGAGTAATAATTGTCGCGCATATACAGCGGCTGGTAGCTGGGCGGTCCCTTGCGATCCAGGAATTCATCAGTTCCGGCTGCGGCTTCTGCATCGGTAAGCTGATACAGGCGTGGTTCTGGTTTTGTGGTCTTCGCTCCTTTCTTATCCCATTTTCCAAAACGGATGATGGTACGAGTGGTTGTGTCAAGATGTATTTGCAGAATCCGTGCATAGGTGAGCGGGCTCTTGGTTGCTTCCGTAACGATCTTGGCATGTCGATCCAGCAACTTGACATTCCAGTCCGGGTTCCTTCCAGGAGCGATTACCGGCAATGGTTCGCGGTTTTCCAGGTTTTCCTGCCATTGCGCAAGGTCTAGAATGACGTTGAGATTGTTCCACGAAAGGACGCAGCTCATACACGTACAAACATTTCGCGGATCGATCTGCTTGATGTGTTGATACGGAATCTTGTGGATTCGACCTCTACCCTGCCCTTGCTCGCTGATAAGCGCTGGTCGAGCCACCAAAGGAACTTGGTCGAGTGATATAGGTGGAGGAAAGCACTGCCGGAGAATCCAATAGCGACGGTTCAGGATCTCCTCGGCGATGGATCGCTCGTTGTTCAGAATAAATGTGCGCATTGACTGGTTGAGTCGAAGCAAGTTGAAAATGTCGGTAGGTTGTAGGAAGCCCAGTATTATGGACAGCAACTCCTGTGGAAGATCTAGGAATGATTGGACGTCGGAATGCACTTTTCGAGCTTGCTTCTTTTGCAGCCGTCGTTGAATGCGGGCTGTCTTCTTCGAATGCAATGCCAGGGCGGCTGTGGTGTCGACCAGAGGTTCCTTTTCTGCAAAAGTTTTATGTCGCCTCCAGGCCACGTTGTTGACATAGTGAATAGGCACCTCCTCTAACGGATTGTCTATTTGTGCCCCGGGTGGATTGGCTTGAAGGGTGACACCATTAATGGTCGATGAGTCGTTCTTCGGACCATCCACGGCGTCGAATGCCTTGGACACATGCGATGCTGCATGGGTCCGGTTGGGGGGCGGTTCAATAACATGGGCTGATCGTTGCGGCATTATCGCTGCTCCACCTTGGAGAGCTGTGCCAGCCCAGTATTCTGTCTTAGAAGGAGATAGTGAAAGTATCCACAGAGAGCACACATTGAAATATCGGTGTTTGATTGGTGAGAAAAATGCAGATATACCGAAGCAAACCGAAGCGAGGCTGAGAAGGCTGAGGCTCGGTGGTGTCGAATGCGCAGCTATTGCCAAGAAATGACGTCACTAACATCAAACTGCTCTGATGCTTCTGCCAAGGCCTTGCCAAGTCCTAGCGAGTACCACATCAGCACATCAACCGCATTGGCAGTGTCCTGGGTGTCTTCATCTTGACATCTACGGACCATGGCTTCATTTTCCGCTGCTCGCCTCTTTCAATTGGGGCTATAGACAATCACTTCTGGCCACTGCATGTCTCATCGACGCGATGATCAGAGCGTGCCTAGAGGGATGCCTCATGACGATCAGGTGTGAAATGATCGAGGCCCGCGATGAGACCGCATACCTCCTTTTGTAATTGTGATTCTCTCCGGCGCAAAGACAACTCCAAGTGTATGTTGATGATGAAGCCGAGAAAACGTCCTCGATTCCATTACCAGCGCCGACTTTTCCAAATATTTCGACGCTTTCAAGGCTGCTAAATCGCTTTAGGACATTGTCTGGGCGGCGGTGCCATCTCCGTACGAGATACCGAAACATGTCATCTAAAGTAGGATGAAGCTTATGGAGGAAAAAATGGGAGAGGCAGAAGGCAACAAGCTGGAAACAACAGAGTGACATTGAACCTGTTCGGCGACCTGGAGAATGTTCGGCGACCTGGAGAAATCGTGCTCAGATCGTGAGATGATGTCTCAAGGAGAGTTGCGAAAGGCAAGCTGGTTTAAGACGGACACGGTAGTCGAGCTGAATTTCTACGATGAAAGCCCGAGGAGTGAGCTCGTTTCTGTTGGAGGACAACTTTGCGACGAGCGAGACAAGGCCGACCAGGTCTGCGCTGGGATCGGGGAGCGCGAGGTTCATGAGTTGAGACACCGGATGCGTCTGTGTAGTGCACGCGCTGTGAGTGCTGGTTATGGAGAAAATGAATTGAGAAAGTGGCGGGTGGTTGTGTCCATACTCGTACATCGTCGGATCGAATTGCGCTCAGCAAGACAAGGCTTTTAGCTATGGACATGGTAATGGGAGCGATGAAGACGCACAACACAAATCGAAATGTGATGCATGGAAGGAAGCCCTTAATGGGTAAATTTCTAAGCTAGAGGGCTGTTAGTCAGGGTCGAATGTGTCGTCCATATTATTCTGCGAGATCATAGAAAGAAAAATTCTCCTCTGCTTTTGTTCAATGATTAAAGTCGCCGCGAAGGCCTTATACATTTTAAATTGCTGTACAAAGTTGTCCACAGGAGGGACAAATTATGCTTCGGTCTTTTGCATTAGCTTCTTGCGTTCGTAAGAACATCTCGCATGCTGAAAAACCACACTCAAAAACACCTGTCGTAGTCGAACATTAGATAATGTTACAGAATTCGTCCCTTAACCACCGCTCTCTAATTTAAAAGTGTAGCTTGGACTTCAACCCTTCAAAGGCCATGCCGGGATGCCAGCTCTCCCTTCTCGATTCTGTGGTGGCAGCGGAACTCCTTCTACGCTCGCTCACAACGCTGTTGTTGCGGCTGGCGGAAACGCTATATTCGTTGCCAGGCCTGGCCTTGTGGAACAGTTCTCTGCGGAGCGGGACGTCGTAGATGCGGCCGGGTTGTTGGGGTTCGTCGGTGGGCAGGAGGAATGATGGAATGTATTTCTTGAGGGCAGACATTTCTTTTTTGGAGGTTGAGTTGAGATGTTTGTTGGGTTTGTTAGGGCTTGGCTGATTTGTTCTGTTTGTTTGAGTCTTTTGGACTTTGGGTGCGAGCTTGGGATTTTGGGTTCTTCAAATACGGACCGCTGTTAGGCTTGGAGTTGGATATTCCCGGTACAGGCTCTGATTGTTAGGATTGCAATGTATTGAATGATGCAGATGGAAATCTCGTTCTAAAGACGACTGACAAAGGAGTTATATATACATTCGCATCTGATGCTCATCTAAACAATAATCTCGCAAAACAGAAGAGCTGCGTGTAGGGGCGGGAGGAGGTTTGCGTCATTGCGAGGGTCTTCTTTTGCTCCAGCCAAAAACCGCGCAACTCTGACAGCTTCTCCGAGGTTTACAAAGCTGCTGCGTATCCAGTTCGAGTAAAGCGCGCATCTTTAAATGGGACGACGATCAGTGGGCTCGGTGGGTAGGAACGACATCGACCGTTGAACGGAGCTGACAAAGCGAGCGATTTCTTTTGCGAGCTGAGGAGAGAAAGGAAAATAGTTGAGAGAAGCGAAGGTTGAAGTCCGAGGAGCCGGAGATGCCAAGCCATGACGTCACGCCGATGTTGCATCCTGCGCGCTGCTCAGCCTCGTCCAAGCCTCGTTCAGCGAAAGGAAAATTCCAGCGTGAGCCATTGCCCGCCTATGATGTTTGGTCTTTTGTGGATTATCAGGCCTTTTCTGATGGTAGAGTTGGTGGGTTTTGCATCCCTTCTTTCTGATGCAGCCCGTACTGCCCGTACTGAGGGTGGGTGCTACGGCCAGCCTTGTTCCGAAGCAAGGCTGAGAATCCACCTACGAGACGGATCCATCGCCCACAAGAGCTAAATTCGGCTGCGAAAAGCCTTCCATAGATGGTAGTACGCTGGTCTTTCTGCAACAAGGAACTCACAGCAGCTCACAGGAAAATGTTATTGACATTCTTGGAAAAGCAGAAATTCGAATGCACGCCTATTTGATATCTGTGAAGGCTCGCAGTCGTATCCAACTGAGATATCCGCACCCTCAGAATGGTCTTTCGCTTAGAAATGCTTCCAGTATCCGTCTCTTGCGTGCGTCCAGTGCCTTCTTGTCCCTGCCTTTGAGCCGCGCTTCATTCTCAGCCCTAAAGACAACAGGCGCAAATGTTTCAGCATATGCCCCGACAAGTTTCTTTCGTCGCTCTGCGATGACCGCCTCCGCCTCCGCACCCGTCTCTGAGGTGACCGAAGAGGACGAGATGCTGTTAGTACGGGGTCGACGTAATGCCGGGAAGAGACTTCTCTTGCTAGGTGCTTCTTGTGTCGATGTCGAGAGCCGATGTCCCGAGTCGCTGGAGAGTGTTGACGCTCTCGACCGCCCGAAGGACAGCCGACTTGACGAGGTCGGCGTAGTCGGTGTGGCCGATCCAGGAGCTGGAGCACCGCTACTTATCATCTCATTGACAATCCGTATGAGCAAGAATGTGATAAAAGTCAGTGACACGCTGTGAACTGCAGAAGCAGACATGGCGTCCATAACCACATCCTGGATCTCTTGCGGTGACAGCTGCGTCTTCCCTTTTTCCAAAGAGCTCAATCGTCTCTCAACCTCAGCCCATGGCCCAGCAGGGACTACACCGTCTCTTAAAGACCGAAGGAAGGACACGAGGGTTTCGGCGAGCACTTCCAGTCGAACGATGCTTGGCACATCCGGGCCAAAGTTTATGTCGAGACGATTTGCCGTGTCCAATGCCTCCCTCACGCCAACCAACATGGCAGACCTTTCTTCACCTTCGTGGAAGGTCCAAGTGTCATGACTGAAAGGCCAAGACGTTCCTCCAGTCTCATACTGCCATGGCGGTTTCTCCCCTTCGTGCAACATTCCCCATTCTGCTATCGACCGTTCGATATAAATAGGAAGGATTTCACTGAGTGTATATAGTTCTTTGGGCGCCGAGTGATGGGCAGCCGAGTTCGTGGTCTCCATGATTTTTGTCAATCCCTTGGTTTTCGAGTGCTGGGAGAACTGTCGCACACCACCTTCAGGTGCCAATACCAATTCGTCAAGCGTACGATAGAACGATGACTGAAGCCATGTCCCTTTGACAGGTATGAAATGATCTCGACCGTTCTCGACCCTAAGTACTAGCACATCTTCGAGTTCCGCGTTTCCATCATTCAAGTCGTGTACCAACTCGCCATGAGAAATGTCAATCGTCAGGTCGACAACAGTGGTTTCGCCGGGAGACAGGACAATTTCGTACGTCCCTTTGTGCTCACCCTGCTCTGATGGATGGATAGAGCCAGGTTCAACGCTAAGTTCGAGCCATTTTGGTACAACACGTGCATCTTTGTCGGACTCCGAAGGACGCTCCACGAAAGAAAATGTGGCAGTTATTTGTCCTGTGTTTGCTATGGTGACCATTCTCGTCTTCTGCACGCCGTACCGAACTTCGCCAAAATGTACAACGTTCATGTCTGCCGCACCGTCAGCGTTCGGTATCGGCTCTTCAGAATGGTTGTCCACTACCACTGTTACCGATGGACGGCCTTCGTTCTCGGCCTTGTCCAGCTGTTTAGCAACATCCTGATGCACCTTCGCCTTCAGATCCGGTATGACGGCGTCGTATAGGATGGTAAAAACAGCATTCAGTGGCTTGTGGTCGGATGAGAGTACCCGTTGGTGCGAGATGTAGCTGTTTAATTCAATCATGTCTCCATAGTCCTCGTGTGACTGTACGAGTTCTGCATCATGAAGTACATCCTGAGTTTCCTCATATTCGTCGTAGTCATCGCCATATGCAAGTCCATCTGTATCGGGATCATAATCGAATAGCACGTCGTGCTCTGCGCTGGCCTCGTCGATCCCGCGGGCTTTCATCGATTCGTCCTTTTTGCGTGCCTCTTCCCGTTGCCTGGCCCTCTCCTCATATATGTCCTTGTCGCGGCGAGTTCTGTACAGGATTCTGTCGCACCAGCTGGGACTCCTCTTCTTGTCTCCCGAGTCGAACATCCCAACACTGCCCACGTCATATTTGTAGGTGGGCAAAAAATTGATGTCTCCTTCCCGCCAGCCGTCGTGAAATGCCTTGCCCAGTCTTTGTTGTGCGCGCAGTTGGTCGTGTGCCAGCAGAGACTGAAGGGTAGTGTGGAGCGAAGCAGGATCGGATTTCGGGTCTAATTCCGGTTCGGCGGTGCTCTCAGTGGCTGGTCTTTCAGCATCTTTGTATTCGTAGTGGGGATTTGGAGCCGGTAGATGCGGATCACTTGATGAGGCACATACGTAACCCAGTTCACTGTCAATTTTGCGTTTTGACTTGTTTTGGATATCGTACTCGTTCTGTGTATGAAGCAATAGCAGTCTCCTGACGTCCTGGCCAGGGACATCGTCCAGACGGTAGTTGAGGTCGCCAAACCAGAAAGCAAAGTCCTCGTCCCCAATCTTTTCCTCTCCAGTCTCAACAACGTCGCTGTCTGTAACGGGAGAGAACCGAGCTCTGCTTAAAATTTGATTGGTATCCCAGATTCGGCGAGCTAAGGTTGCTTGGTCCGCGCCAGCGGCAAGATGACAATTGATGAAGCAGAGCTTGGTCGCCTCTGCCACTACGAGTCTCGCGGCAACGGCACCTTTATTGCCGAAATATCCCATCAGACCAGTGCCCACAGACGTCGTACTCACCGAACTAATGCTCGGCGCCAATTCGGGAGAGGCAAAGATGAGGAGGAGTAAGCCAAGCAGCTGTTCTTCGGCCACCTTCTTGTAGCCCTTGGGCAGAGCTCGCCTCAAAGACTTCTTCCACTTTTTGGCAGGGTTTGGATCTGTATAAGGCTTGATGGCCTCCGTCATCGAAGTCACGTCAATGACTTCCTGTAGTCCTAGAACGTACAGGTCGATTTGTTCACGATGTGCCTCGGCCGGAGCATCATCCAGTGGTGTGGTAACGCTCTTCCTTGTCGTTGCTACATGCGCTTCTTGAGACTCGACGGATTCGATGTTTTTATCGCTGTCAGAATCGTCATCACTGTCCTCGACTGAAAGGCCGGATAAGTTCTGTGACAGGCCCTTGGCACCGTAGCCACCAACAAACCAGGCACCTAAATCCTTCTCGGTGCCACTGATTGCAGCAACATTCCAAGTGCCGACTTTGATTTTCATCGACTTCTTCCGGATGTATTCATCCTTTCGAGCCTTGACAGCAGCCGAGAGGGATTGAGGCTCAGAGCGATCGGCCTCGCGTCCTTGTACTTCGGGGGACGGCGGATAAACGCCTTGTAGCTTCGTGCCCGATCCCCAGGGATCTCCAGCTTTCCATGGCTTTGGTGAGAGATAGCTCTCTTCATTTGCCCTGGACGACATAGCTGCCAGCGACGAAGGATCCGTCGGTGATCGTTGATTCCGTTAACTCATTGTGGCTGCATGCCAAGGGCCAGCTTAAGTCGAGGTCTAAATTGACGTTGCTCTCATGGAAGCCACGGGGTGTTGGTTGGTGTGATGGTCAGCTGTTGCGTTGCTGTTGTGATTGCGAGACGTGATTATAAGGGAGTCTCATGGCTATTTGATCTCCAGCAATCGAGGTCGCGTGGGCAAGTCATGACATCTTCCCAAAGCTGTGGAAGAATGTTGGATGACTTCGGAATGACAAAGCCATTCAATCAGCAAGGATTTGCTGTTAGGGGCCTGCCGGAGCCTGAGCTCGCCACAGGGGCGGCAAGCTGGGCAGCACTGGAGGAGATGAAGTCTCTGTTTGGTGCGGCTAACCCATCGGTCCGCCAAGCCTAGCGAGCCCAAACAAGGGCATGTGGGTGTCTGGGTGCCCCTAAGCTCTTCCCTAGGGCTCATCAGGCCTAACAAGTAGATAGGCATCCCCATTGTAGGGTTAGTGACGCCTGGGTAATACGGTTTCAGGTGCCTGGTGCCCACCTTCGTCATCTCGTTGGCAGATGTTACAAACCCGCTTGATGATCCTACCTGACAACAACGTCCAGCACTGCAACTGCGCAACGTCTTACCAACAAGCAACATGGGAATTTTCAAGAATTCCATCCTGGATCTTCTCGCTCCCTGATGGACCCTCGTCCTCTCCCCTCACGATGATCGCTTTGTTGTCGATCCTTGGATTCCAGTTTCATCATGAATACCCGTCCTGTCATCGATGAGTCGGCCGGGCCTATTGCGCTCTCAGCCTCGTTCAACAGCGATGCGAGCTGTTTCGCCGTTGGCCTCGACACGGGCTTCTGTGGTATGTCTGGAGAATACCCTCCCCTCGATCTCGGCGATGACCTTCTCGAGTGTTGATGTTCTCTCCAGTCTTCAATTCAGATCCCTGCGAACTTAAGGCTTCCAGAGGTACCACTCTGCCAGTTGAATCCCCTCAGATCGTCACATTCTGATACAAGATGCAGACTTAAATGCCGGAATTGGTACAGCTGAAATGCTTGGACGATACAACTATCTAGCCTTGGTAGGGGGTGGCAAGAATCCTAGATGGCCTCAGACAAAAGTACGGATTGCGCGGAGTGAATGAAGAGTTGGGAAGCTGATATACACTGGCAGGTCATGATATGGGACGACGCCAAACAGAAAGTCGCCATCACACTCGAACAAAAGACCGCTGTGCTGCGAGTGCGCCTTACCAAGTCGTGGATTGCCATTGCCATCCAGAACAGCATTAACCTCTACAAGTTCTCCTCGCCTCCCGAAAGAACTGCCATCTTTGAAACGGCAGACAACCCGCTTGGATTATGCTGTCTGGGCTCTAGGATCGTTGCTTTCCCCGGTCGCTCGCCTGGGAAAGTACAGCTTGTGGAACTGGGCTCAGGAAACGTGAGCATCATCCCTGCCCACACGTCTGCCCTGCGAGCAATGGACTTGAGTAGGGATGGCCAACTCTTAGCCACAGCAAGTGAGACTGGCACCCTGATCCGTGTCTTCTCTACCGCAAACTGTACCAAAATTGCGGAGCTGCGTCGTGGGGTGGATCCTGCCTATATCTTCAGCATTGCCATCTCTCCCGATTGCAATATGCTCGCTGTCACCTCGGACAAATCGACGTTACACATCTTCGATTTGCCGCCGAATCCTTCTTCACAGTCACAACCAAACAGCCCCCTCAGTCCTTCTTCCCAACAGCGCCGCTCTCAATCACCACATATCCCTACCATGGCCGAAGAAGAACCGCCAACAAATCAAAAATGGGGCTTTCTTTCGAAGATCCCGCTGCTCCCTCGCGTCTTCTCGGATATCTACTCCTTTGCGTCTGCGCATTTCGAGATGGGCGACGAGAGTGTGGGTTTCAATCACTCGACGCTATCATATTTGCCCGCGCTCGGCACTTTACCAAATCGGCCGCAAAAAGGGATCCTCGGCTGGATAGATAATGCCACGATCATCTGTATCGGGACAGGAAGAGATGCGCGATGGGAAAGGTTTAGAGTTGGTGAGAGGCCAGGGGTGACGGATGAAGGTCATAGAAGCGTTTGGAGGGATGGGTGGAGAAAGTATTTGGGAAGCTGAAGGCGACGACTAACTTGGTTCACGGGAACGCGGATTGAAGTGAACACAGTGAAATGGCTGCTTTGAAATACCCAGACAGCAACGACGGGCTGTGAATTATTATCGCCATAATATCGACAAACATCAGGCGACAGGAGACGTGCCAGAATCCCCCGTGGAGCTCGCACATCTGTTCAACACCAGGCGAAGGAATTCTTTTTGACTTCGAGCAAGAAAGAAGACGATCAATCACGAACCCTATACTACAGGAAATGGCCGCCGGAGGCTATCGATCCTACTTTTCGGCAGACTGGCGTTGGCTTTGGACTGCATTGGAGCTTATCCTCGCTCAGAAGGGCGAGTGGGATATACGCGACATGTGATTATTGGTTTGTTTTTTTTCTCCTTCAGTCGATTGACCAAAGGCGTTTTATGACATGTGGCCCAAAAAGTGCGCTGTATCATGTTGGGCTGGAAGCAAAAATACCCCTGGCAAAGGAGGATCGACCTCGACAGATAGAAATGATCAACGTTTTGATACATCTTGTGTCTTTTGTCTCTGTTTTCTTTTTGCAAGCCCATCATCGTGGTTTGCGGGAAAACCTCTATATTTTGCACTTCCACGATCGCGGAACATGGAACATGGAACATGGGACAAGGCAGCAGGGAACAGGAACTTGTTCTCTCAAACGGCAGTATGCAATATGCACAAGGCACAGGATTGATATCTGACAAGCAGAGCCTTTGCAAGGCACTGGATTCTACCTTTGTAGCATACTGGGGGCCTAGGATGTGCGTAGGACCGAAGAGGTAGGCCGCGACGATATGGTACCGCTGTAAAAGCCTCAAGAAAGACTCAAGCCACAACACATGGGACGGCAAAAGAAAACAGTGCAAGTATGCGCATTCACTTTTTTGTTCTGCCCTTTTTACTTTTTTGGCTCTTCATTTTCCCTCCCTATTCTTCTCTCCGCTTTCTCCCACACTTCCTCAAGCTCCGATTCCGATTCCGAATCTGAATCCAACTCCACGATCCATTCGCCCCCAGCCACCTAACCCGCCGTACCTACATCCCGAATGTCCAGCAGTGCCAAAAGCATAAAAAAGGAAAGAAAGAAAGAATAGAGGAACGCCGACTACCACTTGATTCGAGTTGATTTCCGCGCCGCCAGCAGAGGAAAAAGGGTGGTTGAGAGCCCCACGAAATTGGGATAGAGTTGGATAGGAGGTAGGTACGTGCAAATCAAAACATCTTCAACTCCAAGGGTTCCAAGGCTCCATCGGCGGAGGAAGTGGTGGAGGATACTGCCAATATTGAGACTGATAAAACTGCAGCTCAAGGGCACGAGGATAATGTGTAGGCAGAAGATGAAATTGTGCCGGCCGGCCGGACCATTGCCAGTACTCAGTTCCAGGAGCTGGATCCAACAGACTTGTGGACTCGTGAAATAGTTCCAGAGCGGGATTAAGACCAAGACCATGCACAGGGCCAAGATCACAATTTGGGCCAAGACCAGGATCATGACCCGCGATCCCACCCTGTCCTCCTTTGACTCCTTTGTGTCGGCGACGACCTCGAGGAGAGGGCCCCTAACTCAACGCCTTCTGGTACTGGAAATTCCCAAACCCTCCCGGTGTCATGGACCCCATCATCCCGGCACCACCAGTATGTGCAGGGACAGGCGTGTGCGAGGAAGGCCCGCCTCCGCCCTGTCCACCCGCCATACCAATGTTCCCAGTCTGTGGTGTCGTCGGTGTTCCATTCTGATTGTAGAAGGTCGCCCCATTCATGTTCGGAGTGCTGAAGTCACGCGTCGTCCCTGGAGCCCCTCCACTTCCGCCACCAGCGGCATTACCGCTGGTTGGCATCTGCGCATTCAGTCCCCAGACTTGAGATCGGTATTTATCCTCTTCGATTATGCCATTGAAGATCTTCTCCTTCATCTTGAAGTACACTTGCCCAGTAAGCAAGGAGTCCGAGCCAGCTTGGTGTGCTTGTCCGATCCGCGGAACGGCCAGCTCTTCAGCAATGTCTTGCAGACCTGATTTGGTCATTATGCGCTGGACCATCATCGCCGCTTCCTGGGTAAGAGGTTGTCCGCTATTAACTTGACCTTTTACACCAGCGTGCTTGAGGATGAATTTGATGTCAAACAAGGACGGGAAGAACTTCTCCAAGTACTTGTGGAACATCACTTCGTCCTCAGGTAAGGGTTTGCAGATCATGAGTTTCATAAGGTAGCCAAAGTCGTAGCCTGAGTGGAAAGAAATCCAATGTACATCGGGGTCCAGCACCAGACCAGAACTGATCAACAGCGCACCAAAATCATGGGGGTCGATTCCATGCTTCGCATGTCGGTCAAAGTCAATGCCAGCTTTTGAAAGCATCTGCGTCGACTCTCTCGCATACATGTCCGTTTCCAGAGAGAACTTAAAGTTGAACTGCCACGTACATGGTGTAGGTAGGACACTGGTATGGAACTGAGACTTCTGAGGAGCGGCGTCAGCTGGAGGGAGGGTGCCGTCAGGTTTAAATAGAGTGATTCCCAACTGAATCATCTTGAGGAGATCGACATTACACCGTAATGTTTGATAGTGATAGTCTGCCTTTGTGGTGAATTGGCCGATGGGCCGAGCAACAATACCTGGGAATTCGGTGTCCTAGACAATCTATGTCAGCACAGTCAGGAATGACCACAAACGAAGACAGTCGCCTACCATTGCAATGTATGGGTAGATATCCACCAGTTGTCTCAATGTCGCCATCTCTTCCTTGAGATTATGCTTCCACACGTTTCGGATCCTGGCGTCGTCTTTATTCTCCAGCGGACCCCCGAGGCCATCGTATGACTGGTGAGCTTGCACTGGACCTCCTCTTGAGAATCCCATTTGGGCCATTTGACTAGGGAGAAGGCCGCCATCTAGCATGCCGCGCTCAAAGCCGTTGTTCAGGTTGCCTGCCAAAGCGAATGGGCTTGCGTTGGAAGACCCAGCGGCACCGAAGGACGGAGTGCCCAGATGGGTGGGAGGCGGAAGGGCACCATGTTGATGTGAGGATGCGTGTGACTGAAGGTGATTTTGCTGAATATGATAAGGTCCATTTATGGACTGATTTCCATAGCGCGGAGGCGCCATGATGAAGGTCGAGTAGGTATAGGTAGTCGAAAGTGCGGAGGAGATGCAGCAGACGATGGTAAATCAAATGTGTTCATTGCGGGAGTATGGAAGGCTGTGGTTGAGACGGTTATTGTTGAACCGCCGAGTGGTCCATGAGTGCAAGAGTCGAGACCGCCATTGGCTTTACCGGAGAGAAGGTTGTCGGGCGTTCATGGTTCAGTGTAGTGATTTGCGCAGACTCGATGTAGGTGTGCTAGTGATAGTTCATCGCAAACATGCGGCGGGACAAAGTCTAGTCCCAAGTCTACGAGTGCGACACTTAAAACGGCAAATGCGCGGCCGTAATAGGGGGGAGTATTGACCACTCTAGTGACACTACGTGATGCAGGAATTCACTCGTCTGACAACATTCTTTTTGATCTCTTGAGGGGTAGGTTAGCTACCAGCGCCCAATAACGCCTTCCAGTCTCTCATAATGTTGCTGTCAGACAGTATGCCACGACTGCAGAAGCTGCTTCGGTTATCACTTGTCAATTGCTTTCCGCGATCAAAGATCTCGTAGGAGGTACTCTCCATCAAGCTCCCTCTCTTCCCCTCAAAAGACCACCTTGGGTCTACCTCTACGCGACTCTCCTGCGAACTCTAGAGCTTCGACATTAGCCTCCTCCTGGTTCTATCCTGTCAGCGTCGCCAGTCATAGCTCCCAGCTCATCATGGCACCTCCGAACAACCCAACGGGGTTCAGTATGAAAGCCTTCACCGATGCAGCAACAAGCAAGGAGTGGCGGGCACGGGATCCATGGGCAAGACAGTAAGCAAGATGAAAGAGCACGGTGAACAATGCTGACAAAACTCTAGTGAGGCATGGCGATACACCGGACCTTTCACGAGATGGAATCGATTCAAGAGAGCATTCCCCGGATTTGGAATTGCTGTGGTCGCGTTCACGGGCTATGTCATCTTCGAGCAATTATTCTTGAAAGACTCCCATGGTCATGGTCATGATGAGAGTGCAGGACACCACTAGACAATCCCAACGCCAGAAGGACAATACCTCTGCTCACGACCAAGTGCTGGAGTGAGCTGAAGAAAACCCACGACAGAAGAGCACGGCCCGAGTGAATGGTTATTGTACATATAAGAGACAACTGGGGTGGCCATGTACAGAAAGCGAAGATGGGAATATTGGAAAAACGCCCTGCAACACTGCCGCACTGCCTTGGGAAAGCACAGGCTCATTCATGATCGTCCAAGCCTACCTCCGCAAAGAGTATGCAGCCTTGCTTTCCATGCAGCATAGCCTTGCGCTCGGAAAAAGCTTTAATTAACGACATGGTTCCGTGGAAACAGGAGGACTCGATTGTTCAATTTTACGTGGAAGGAGAATTCTCGGCCAGAAAACTCTTCCTGTTGTCTCTGTGCTCCTTTCCTCGGGCCACCTCAACTTCCTTCGTCGTCTTGGGACTTGTTCGTGTGTAGTTTGAGTCGTCACTTCTCGTGACCGGGGTGCTGAGGAACCCAGATGTTTCTTGCTCGTGGTCACCTTCTCTTTTGATTCCCGCGAGTGTGGAGTAAGATCTAAACCACAAAGGGCAAATTTTGCCAGGCCAGTCAGAAGTTGAGCATGGATTCTGATGCGGAAAAGAGGAAAGCGACCGCGAAGCCGGCGAGTAGCATAGACGCTCTTGCAGACCCTTATCTCCTTATCGTCCGTGTTATATGTTATAATGCAGTTGATGGCGAGCTCTGGATGCTTTGGCCTTGGTGTTGGTGTCGGCTAGGGCAAAGCATTGCCTTTTTCATCGTGAGGAGTTGGCAGTCATTTGGCCGCTATAAGGGACATAATACATACATATATCTTGTCTGGACGCTCCGACCTTTCTTCTCCTCATCTTCTGCCTTTGTCGCATCGTTCTGTCTTTTGCTGTCCTTCCAGTCAAGTGGTTCTCTCCGCCAGTCAGCCATGGTTCTTGAGCGTGTCAAGCAGTTGGCCCAACAGGTGTCCAACACCGTTGCTCCTCCTCATCCATTTGACCCTCTCTCTTCCCTTGAGATTGAAACAGCCGTTTCTCTGCTTCGATCACAGCATGGCAAGTTGTATTACAACGCCGTCACGCTGTACGAGCCTCCCAAGGCTCAGATGCTGAAATGGCTGGCTGATCCCGATCACACACCAAAACCACACCGGGTCGCCGACATTGTGGTCATTACTCCCGAGGGCAAAGTGTTCGACGGCCAGGTCGACCTCACAGAGCGCAAGGTTGTCAAATGGGAGCATACTCCCGGCGTGCAGCCATTAATCACCATGGAAGATCTCCAAATTGTCGAACATGTTGTTCGCAAGGACCCCGGTGTCATTGAGCAATGCGGCCTGATTGGCATCCCGCCTGAGGAGATGCACAAGGTCTACTGTGACCCATGGACCATCGGATACGATGAAAGATTCGGCAATTCTGTTAGACTCCAGCAGGCCCTGATGTACTATCGACCTCACGTCGACGACTCTCAATATTCTTTCCCCCTCGATTTCTGCCCGATTTACGATGCAAACAAACAGAAGATTATCCACATTGACGTGCCCAAGGTTCGACGCCCTCTGAGCAAGGCACCACCGAACAACTATCATGTGAAATCAATCGAGGAGATCGGTGGCTACCGGACAGACCTTAAGCCGATCAACATCACCCAGCCCGAAGGTGTTAGCTTCAAAGTCCAGGGCCGCATTCTAGAATGGCAAAACTGGTCCATCCATGTCGGCTTCAACTACAGAGAGGGCATCGTCCTCAACAACATTACCTATTTCGACAAGGCAGAGGGCAAGGCCCGTCCTATCTTCTACCGCCTGTCTCTCGCCGAAATGGTGGTCCCCTACGGCAACCCTGAGCACCCGCATCAGCGAAAACACGCTTTCGACCTGGGCGAGTACGGTGGTGGGTACATGACCAACTCACTCAGCTTGGGATGTGACTGCAAGGGCAGCATTCACTACATGGACGCCGAGTTTGTGAACAAGGCTGGCGCCGCACAAACGATCAAGAACGCAATCTGCATCCACGAGGAAGACAACGGTATCCTTTTCAAACACTCGGACTTCAGAGACGACTCCGTCATCGTCACTCGCGCACGCAAACTAATCATTTCCCACATCTTCACCGCTGCGAATTACGAGTATTGCGTTTACTGGATCTTCCACCAGGACGGCACCGTCCAACTCGAGATCAAACTTACAGGCATCCTCAATACCTACGCAATGAACCCCGGCGAAGACACCAAGGGATGGGGCACGGAAGTCTACCCCGGCGTCAACGCCCACAACCACCAACACTTGTTTTGTCTGCGCATTGACCCCAACATCGACGGGCCCAACAACACAGTATTCCAAGTCGACGCCGTCCAGGGCGCTGGTGAACCGGGCTCCGTCGAGAACTATTACGGCAATGCCTTCTATGCCAAGAGGACCAAGTACACGACTCCCACAGAGGCTATGGCGGATTACAACGGATCTAGCTCGCGGAGTTGGGACATGTGCAATGAGAACAAGTTGAACCCATACTCCAAGAAACCCGTGTCGTACAAGCTGGTGAGCAGGGAGGTACCGGCGCTACTGCCCAAGGAAGGATCTCTAGTGTGGAAGCGGGCCGGCTTCTCGAGGCACGCCGTGCATGTGACGAAGTGTAAGTTCTCTCTCTCTCTCTCTCTCCAAAACCACACCCCACGCCCGCGAGATATACGATCTCTAACCGTCGTCATGTATGTAACCAGACTCGGACGACCAAGTGCACCCAGCAGGGCGCCACGTGCCGCAAACCTCGGGCGAACCGTCTATGGGCCTGCCGCAGTGGATCGCGGCGAACCCGACGGCCAAGATCGACAACGAGGACATCGTGTTGTGGCACACCTTTGGCATCACGCATTTCCCGGCCCCCGAGGACTACCCGGTCATGCCCGCCGAGCCGATGACGCTGCTGCTCCGGCCGCGCAACTTCTTCGTGCGCAATCCCGCCCTCGATGTCCCGCCCAGCTACGCGCGGACGCCCAGTGAGGTCGCCGCCGGCAAGAGCGGGTGTGCTTGTTCGAAGGACAAGTTGAGCGTGCAGGTTTGAGCCGGGGGTTGAGATGTTGTGGGATATACGTGTGCGAGATGAGTGAGAATGAATTTCTTTATATTTGTCGATATCATGATCCGGGGGGGAATATCCAATGGAACTCTGTTACTTGATTGCGAGGGCTCAACACACAGCATCTGGAAAAAAAGGAATTTTAACTGAACTGGGTACGCAACATCTCATATATTATGTACCATCCAGATGACGAATTTTATTCGCAATCTATGATCTTCTCAAGAAATAACATACCGTCTTTTCAACAGACCCGACAGACCCGACAGACCATCGACAGAACCCAGTATCATATGTAACCTGTTGCATGATCTAGATATGCGATAAGCTGTGCTATGGTCGCCCCAATTACTACCACGTTTCCTGTTTATATCTCCCTTCCTTCTCCAGCCTGGCAAGGTACATCTCAGCGTCCTCTGTACTCTTTATCGACTCTTCGGTCTCACCATCTTCCTCCTCGCCATGACCGATTAGTCCTTGGGCCGCAACCTCGTCCTCATCCTTGGTCCCCGCCCCTTGCTGAATCAGCGCATCGACCAAAGCCTGCCTTACAGCCTTGGGCATCTGCCCGGAGGAGCCGCAAACAATGACCGTCGCCGCTCTTTCTCTCAGGAATTCCCAGATCAAGTGGCTCCGCTCACGGATCCGATCTTGCACATAGACTTTGGATCTCTGATCCCGGGAGAACGCCGTGATGACCTCGAGACTGGCGCTCGGGGGATTCTGGGCTTGGAGCGCTGTCCACTCGTCGTGGAAGAAATAGTCTGATTTCTGGTTACGGCAGCCGAAGAAGAGTGTTGTCTTGCCTGCGAGCTGACTTTGCATGGCTTTTTCGTGAATGAGTGCTCGGAGAGGTGCGATGCCCGTGCCGGCGCCGATCAGGATGTGGCTCTTACCGGTCAAATCAGCGGCTCCGGAGAAGCGGCCTTCTGTCTTCAATGAGACTTGGAGCGTTGTTCCGACCGGTAATTGCGCCAAGTATCGCGTGCACACACCCTCTCTGATCCGTTTGATGACCGTCCTGTACTTAACTATTGCGACCAGAAGCTCAAATTTGGTCGATCCATCTTCAGAACTCTTCAAGGGTCCACCGCTTGCAATGCTGAATTGTCTTGGACGTATTGGTGGAAAGATATTGGTGGCTTCCTCCCATGGGAGATGCACGGAATCGAATTCTTGCAGGATCTCGAGGATACTCCGTCGAGGACGGGTCGCATAATCGTAGTATTCATCGAGATATTGTGGGTCGGTGAACTCGAGGAGTCTTTCCTTGTGCATGCTGTTGCTTGTGTAGTTTGCGATGCAGCCCAAGAATGAGCGGCGAGGAATGGCGTTAATGTCCAAATACTCGGTGAGAAGAACTCGCAGGTTGAGATCGACACGGCTGACGATGAGATTGGTTGCAGGAGTGGTTGCGGTGGAGGTTGAAGCTGATCGAGTTGAGACGAGCCGGATAGGTGTATCCGCAATATGTTGCCAATTCATGCGGTTGATCAGGGATTCCACATCCACCGGCATGTTTCGAGGAGAAATGGCGAGCGCATCGCCTGGCATGTAGTCGATTTTTCCTGAGGCTTTAAGGCTCATAAATCGAACATCTTGCCAGTGGTCAGATGGAGTGACTCGTTGGTTAGACTCCAAAGATACAGAGAAGGAATCCGAACGAGTGCTGTGTCCAGCTGAAGAAGGAGGGTGGACACCATTAGTGATTGGAGAGGCAACAGATGGATCGGCAGGTCCAGAGGCCTTTTCCAAGCGCCATTTACTAGGCAGCAGAACATCATTTGGGATGGGGACTTGACCGTCAGTAAGAGGGAAGATCTTGGTTATAGTCTCTCGAAACAATTGAAGCCAGATCAGAAAGGCGCCATCCGTTCCCTCGTCACCTTGTTCGTCGGCCTCGCAAGGCTCGAGAATTGGCAATGCCCCAAGTTGACGCAACCTCTTATCCAATTTCCTCGCGGCCCAGTTGAATTTAGGGTAGGAGCTATCACCGAGGCCAACTAGAGCATAATCAACGCCGGCCAGTGTGGTAGCCGTCAGCTTCTTACGAAGAAGGCTGGTCCAGAATTTGCGAGCATTCTCAGGAAAGTCACCCTGTCCAGTTGTGGCAACGACGAAGACGGTGAGAGTATAGTGGTGCAGGAGGCTGTAAGTGACAGCGTCTAGTCCTAAGACATCCGTGTGGAAATGAAGTCTCTCGAGACTGCGACCGATTTCTTCGGCCAGATCTTGGGCTGTGCCGGTTTCTGTTCCATAGAGAAGAAGAGCGGATCTGGCGCGGCCTTGTTCGGTCATCTTTCTCCTGGAAGGCGAGGCTCCAGGCGAGCATTGTGCGGCCTGACGTGACTTGCGATAAGAGCAGACTGTCTCCGGATGAAACGTGATGGGACCGTGGAATGAAGTTGTCTCGGGCGTCTTGGGCGTCCAAGGTGTCGCACCACCATTGTTCGTCCGGGAAAATGTGTCTCCGAAATCCGGTCTTGGCGCAGAAAGTCAAATAGAATCTCAGGCTGCGTTTGGCCTGCTCCTTTACTTCGTACCGCTGCGGTAGTTGGCCGAAAGGTATGTGGTTTGGTAGGTAGAACAAGGGCAGTGGCCACCCAGGTGCTCTGCAGCCGCCTTGTCGCCGTGCTCTTTCGTTTCTCGCTTGTTTTGTTTCGTTCTGATCCCCGCGCAAGGTCACTCGCCCTATCGCTGCGATGCTGGCTGAGACAGTGAGGCACTAGGCTGAACACCTCGCTCAGCCCTGGCTAATTTAGCCTGATCAAGTTATATCTGACCTGTTTACCACTCATCGTTTCTTGTCTGTTTCCTTTTCCATTTTGCACCGTAAAGCATGTCCTCAGATCCCCGCTACAAACATTGGACACGTCGCCCATGGCTGAGATTGTTGGCATTGTAGCAGCGGCACTTGAGTTTGGCAGCGTCATTAGAGAGCTGAAAGAGCTGCGTTCCTCAATCAAGCATGCTCCGGAAGGTCTTGGACAGCTCTTGGAGGAGCTCGATTCTCTGGAGGATGTTCTACAAACACTTGCCGAGCAGGAAGCGGTGACCGCCGCCTATGTCTCACCCAATGCGGTCCGAAACTGTCGACAGCGTTGCGAGAAGGCTGTGCAGGGCATCAGGATTGTTTGCGATGGACTCTCAAAGTGCATCAAACATTCCAGACTGCGTGGCTCCTTGAAAGCAGCTCTTAAAAAGGATGTGCTGGAGAAATCCGCGCGGGAGATTGAAAGAGCCAAATCCAACTTGATATTGGCTCAAATGGCCGCGTTGAAGTAAGAGGCCGAGTTCCCAACTGCCTCATTCGCTCAGGGCTAACTCGATACAGTGCCATAAGTACGTTCAATCTTCAACATCACGCCACCACGCAAGCCCGGGTTGTCTCTTCCTCTGGTAATGTGTCTGCCCTCCTGGAAGACATTCGTCAGGCTCCGCGGTCCGCAGTCTCGGCGGCTGTTTCAACTCTTACCTGCCAGAGTGATTCGACTCTTGACATAACCCCTCTAAGCGAAGGAGCTCAACGCAGCCAATGTGCCCGTGTGCGCACTCAACGTCTGATTCTTTTGCAAAGTCGGCGACTGGGGAAAGCCATCGAGTTCGTACAGCAACAAGCCTATGGCGCATGGACATACGGCTTTAGGACCTACAGTATACGACCATGCGATGCGCTGGTTTTCAAATACGCGCAAGGCGACGATCTCTCTGCGCTTCAGCAGTTGTTTCAAACGCACCAAGCGTCGATTCATGACAGGGATCAGTTTGGGCGCACGATACTTCATGTAAGTGCAGCATTCTTCTCGGCATTAGGGGTAAGCGAATCTCATCGCATTAACAGTGGGCTTCGACACTGGCTCGGGTGCCAATAATGAAGTTCCTCATACAACAGGGGGCTGATCCGAAGGAGAGAGACTTCGAGTAGGTCGCCAGGACGAATATGTTTTCCAAAGTCTACTGACATGACACCAGCAACATGTCTTGCCTCTCATATCTTGCTCTTTCTGCATGTGCGGCCCCTGTGGTCGATGCCTTTCGCGTGATGATACAATGCGACGTGCTTAGCGACCTGGACGACGACCCGCAGAAGGCGCTAAATGTGATCATCGCACAGAAACCTGAAGCAGCGCCAGACATCCTAGCAATGCTATCGCCGCCTTGGAGTTCTCATGATCTCCTCACTCGGCTCGACGCAGCGTACAATGTATGCGACGCCCGAGCTCATTCAACCGCCTTTTGGCGCTGTCTGTCTCAATCTCAACTCGAATCCTCATGTCTTGTGAGAAAGCTGTCTCGAAATGGGAATAGCTTTGTATATGAGAGTCTTATTTCGCGTCTAGCGGGCGTGATGACCAGTTTCTGGCCCAACCATGGTTCATATCGTTTCTGGGGGGATTATGGTTCTTGTCAAGACTATGCTGGCTGGAGGGTGCTTTTTCAGTCCGCTGTGAGGCTTAGTGGGCTGTGTTTTTCATTCGATTACCTTTGCTTCTCTCCAATGCTGACATATTTGCGTTTTGGCAACGGGGACAACCTCTGTTTCTACGGATCACATTCGGATCTGAGCTCCAAGCGTTTGACGCATAAGTTACGCCACTGGGCCCAGGAAGTGCTTGATGCAGGGCAGGACCTGAGCGAGTATGGACAATGGGAACATGGCTTCCTGTTCTCGAGAGCACGAGGGCCATATATGGTGACACCTGGTCGTTTCAGCGTGGTTGTCTTAAATTTCACGTATGGAGCCAATCCGAGTGACTGGCAAATCTGGGTATCGATGTCCTTGGATGAGCACGCGGGCGAGTTTTGGCAAAGTCTAGAAGATCCAGAGCCCGAGTTTGATTTACCAGGAGCATGGCCTAGCACGCCCCCCGTTAGTGGTGCCAGGTACGATGTTTTCATGGGCAGGGGATTCTGGTATTCTCGAAGGAAACGTCGCCGCTGGCTGAGATACCTGGGTCTGACCGGAAACGAAGCGGACAAGTTCTTTGGAGACCACTGGAAAACGCGTGTCGCACTATTGGCAGGGAGTGGAAAGAAAAAGAAAGCAACGGCAGAGATCTTCTTCCGGGAGAACGGGATCAGTCCGCCATCCTGATGGGGTGGTTTTCTGAGAGGCAACGCCACCGGTCTCGTTGCCAGAAGATACCAAGGACGTCATATGGGACTGAATGGAGCAGTCCACGGCAAGGGTGGTACATAGGAAGAAGATCGTGTATTGGCTGCTCTGCGGCTTCTTGAGCCAGTTTGCATCTTCAGACAGCCGGATTTCCTGGACCAACCGCGGGATATGGTGTAATCAAACTGACACAAGTCCATTCAGGTGAGCATTGATCGTGGCGACACAAGTCCTGGCCTGGTCACAATCAATGGGCCCGCTGAAAGAGGGCATTGAATTTCACATCTGGCTATTGCCACGCCATCCAACCACGTTAACCTGGCTCTCTTAACCCCTTCGCGCAGACATCTGGTATCTCGTGCAGAGGAGGGGGCATCGTTCAGTATTCACCACCTTCGTCACCGCCTCCACCGCCGTACGCGAAGCCATCCTCATCATCCCCTTCTCCGCCATCAAAGTAATTCTCGGCGTTGTAATCGTCGGCCTCGCCATCGTCGGACTCTTCAAACTCGGAGTCTACGGGCTCGCCATCTGTGTCGTCCTCGTCTTCTTCTTCGTCTCCATCACCATCTTCGTCTTCGTTCTCCTGCGCATCGGGCACGTCGTCGTCGTCCTCCTCCTCTTCGTCAGACTCGCTTGCGCGCCTGCCCGTCTCTTGCTGAGGCCGCTTCCTCTCCTTCGCGCGCAGGCTCGCCGGTAGAGGGGAACGGCCATTTTTCTTCTTCGGCCCAAAGTCGTCTTCGGCGTCGAGACCGCGCTTTTCGCGGGACTCGGTCTCGCGGCGTCGTCGCTTCTTCGCCGCTTTGGCCAGCGCCCGCGCACGGCGGGACGCTGAGAGAAGCGGGTCCGACTCGTCGGTGTCGTTTCCTTTATCGTCTTCTGCGACCTCGTCGCCTTCCTCATCGTGGTCTTCGATAACGAGGCTGTCGCGCTTCCGCTTCGATGATTTGCGCCTTGGGATGTTCGTCGCGGCGTCGATGTCGATCTCGGCCGACTTCCACAGCGGGTTCTTCCTGTCTGGGTCGAGGAGGGGCCAGAGTTCGTGCGGGAAGTATTTCAATGCTGGAAAGTTCGAATAGACATTTTCTCTTGTCAGCAGGTAGTCTCTTCTACCTCCTTTCTTTTCCTCCCATGCATGTGCAGAATTCCCGTTGCGTATGCCAACAATTGTCCAGGAGCAACCAGGGGATGCTGTTGTCATCACGTACCATACTCCCTGCCACTTCCCTTCAAGTCCGGCAAGCTCCTCTTCTTCTTGTGATACTTGGCCGTGTACTTCTCCTGATCGTTGAACGGATCAAAGCCCGCGCGTTTGAGCGTTTTGCCCGTCTTTTCGTCCGCAATGCTGCTGGGGTCGAGGGTAGCGTAGTATGGTCCGTTGCGCACACGGGTGCGGAAGGACAGGTAGCGGCTCACGGCCGCAAGCTCGCGGGCCGTAGGTGGCCGAGGAACGGGGAGGTCGATATCCTGCAAAAATTTGAGCGCTTGGTTAGGACGGTCTCTGTTTGCCTTTCAAGTTTCGTTCTTTTATGATGTTGGAGGCACCGAGAAAAGGGAGATTAGGAGAAGAGTGCAAGACAGTACTGGAAATAGCGCTTGGGGCTTCTTCTCGGTCGGCGGGAAGGAGATGTCGGCGTCGTCCTCATAGTCCAGCTCCGGGGGTGCAGGGCCTTTTCGACCACCACCGCCACCGCGCCCTCTTCCCCATCCACCTCGCGACATCGTGGACCACCTGTCGAGGAGAATGTCACCGGACTCTAACTTCCATGCTGCACTGTGCCAGGTGAGAGACTGGTAAAGGCAAGAGTGGTATTTCGTGGATGAAACTGAAAATAGGAGTGCTCTCAGCAACTACTGAACCTATACGCACGATCTTCATACCAGAAAACCGACTGGCAGAATTTTGGGACGGAGATGGGGAATTTAAGTGGGCGGAGAGGCGGGTTTTTCTCACCGCCTTCACGAGGCTGAGCAAGGCTGAGATATTCGTCCCAATCAAATGCACTTATTGATTGTGATAACAGGGCAAATTATCTTGGTGCAAATATAAAATGCAGAGAATCTGGTCAGATGATGCAGTCGCAGCCTCTATGGGTTGATCTGTACATTCTCGTCAAGATCAGCTCAGATGATGTCGGGAACAAAGCAAGGCGTTTCGACATTCGAGTAACGTGGTGGCCGCGGTTGGACATACCCCTAGGTCAGCAGAGGTATAGACTAAACTGGAGCACATCTACCCAAAATAACAGCGTACCGCGTACAGAGAATTGGCAGTATGCTAGATGTCATGTGGAATCTAACCTCCATCATTCCAGGCTGTAACGAATGACATTGGCCACTCCATCCATTCTGACCAGTGAGGACCAAGGTGTGAAGAGATAGCTTTGATCAGAAAGTGACCAGAATCTCCTACAGCCCAGCAATCCCGGTAAAATCTCATCAAGGCCGCAAAGTATGCGAGGATTATCAGAGCTTCAGGTCTTCGCTGATTGAGTCTTTCTAGATAGGGGGTTTTGAGCTGTACAGGCCAGGCAAGTAGCCAGCGGATGGTTGTATGCCTTTCTTCGGGCACCCGGGATATCGCAAACACCCACTGCAATCGCTCAATCGCCGACTCATATGCGTCCCTAGCTTGGTCCCCCAGGTCCGGGTTGGCGGTCAACTTCGACAAATCCAGGCAAGGCTGAGGGATTTGGTAAGGTTTTGGAGGCTGTTGGACATTGAACATTGGTTTGAGCTCGGTCTCTTTCATATGTTCATACCAGTCTTGGATGATCAATTTTGGGACATTGCGCATCAGCATGACACAGCCGACAACGTGGTCGAGATACTGGTGCGAGTTAAGGCCCTCGGTACGAGAAGGGTCGGCAAGGATATGAACCGCTAGAAGCATTGTAAAAATGAGAATAGCAGCGCAGTTCGAGGCGTTGATATCCCTCTCTACGCTGTTGAACTTGTTGAGGGCCAGAGTTTGCAGCTCTGTAGCCATGGTGTGGTACCATGTAGAGTGCTCAGGCTTACAGTAGGCGAGATGTAGAGCTGAGATTGCAAGAAGCTCGTGCATGAGGAAAGGAAACGAGAAGGCCATGCGGACCACTGATTCTTTCCATATGTGCTGAACAGAATCATCGGTACTAAATGTTCTGTAGGTGGCAAGGAGGAAGTGATGGAAGAGTTCGAGGTGTTGCATATTGAGATTTGGATCAAACAATCCCGAGGGAGCAAAGGCCGGCACCACACTAGACTGATCGAGACCTTGAGGCCGCTGGTCTGGCGTTGAGGTCTCAGACGCACTAGCAGCAACAATTTCCGTCTCTGTGGCAATCGGCCTTGATGAGGATGTGCTTGAAGCAAAAATGCAATTCAATCCAGCGGTCTGGCAATTTACACACCGAGGGCGATGTTCATCACACTGTTGCAACGGTTTCAGTGGGTTAACCTCACCACGGCTTCCTGCTGGAACCTCTGGCATCTTTTACTGACCTTGATGTGTCGCCTTTTGCAGTCGATACAGCCACTACGAGACTTTTTGTGCGGTCGTCGTGGCATTGGGATCTTGGACCATGCATGCACAACGATATCGTGTACTTCCGAGATAGGTGAACAAAGAGCCGGTACCTCGCCAAGGAAACGGAACACAGAGGAATATTACAATAGGCTGGCTCAGCCTTTGTGCTCTCGTGAGTTGTGACAGGATTGAACACCAACCGATCTGGGCATGGCCGGGGAAAATTGCTGTTGCCTGGATTCCCTGCGGATCCGAGCCTGCATGCTGATTGCCGGTAAAGGAGAGGAGAGGGCGACTCTCACAGCAGGAGAATTCTGAAATTCATCGAGCGGCCTCCCAAGGGCGCCATATACACAGATTGTCGACAAATGGAGGGTGATTGAAAATTTATTGGGTAAAAGGGGGGAGGTAAACCCTACCACTAGCGGAAGTTGGAAATCGCTTCTTCTAAATTCCCCAGACATGGAAATTCTAGACATCTGGGCGGATCAAAGAGCACAGCCCACAGCGGCCTAAAGCGAGAAGCAATGGAATTTAGCTTCCAGATTGACAGGTAGGAGTACCGAGGACGGCAGAAGGATGTTGGTATGTCAAGGCTGCAGACTGGGAAGCAAAGCACGCCTCTCTCCTCTCTCCTCTCGCCTCCCCTTTACCATGCTCCTACCCTCCAACCGCATATCTCCCATCCCCGAGCCCCTTTTCATCAGTTCTTCTCCTTCCCGTCCTTCATTCAAAACAGTGAAACCGCATCGCCCACGTTCAACGCGAGGTACTTTGGTGGGTCTGGTGGCAGCCAGCTAGTCTTTTGCCTTCTTCGGTGTGCTTCTCTAATACCTTCTCGGGCATCTCAAGATGGTGGTTTACCTCATATTTCTTTTTTGTGCTTTGCTGTTGTCACCAGTGGCCCTTTTGCGGTCTCTAATCCTTCTGCTCCAGAAGTCGTTCGACGTGCCGATCTTAGCTTCGACTGTACCTGCATTGATCACTGGTTCAAACACAACCGGCACTGGATTCGAGCATCCTCCACTACCGGTTGCATGTCCTTGGAGACCATTCCCGAAAAAATCTATGCTCTCAATGCACTCCTGAAGCCAGACTATATTTCCAACGATTTCCCAAACCTGATTTGCAGGTTGAACCAAAACAGATGCGGATGGACGTACAGCTCTCTGGACTGTCTGCGGGAGATTGTCAACTCGGCATCTTCAACTTCACCCTACAGCAACGTGAACTCGAGACAGATCACGCCTGCATGCGAGAACCTTGACGAGATAGCACCTTCGGACACGCTCCTTTGCCGCATCAAAGGATACCTTTGATCGGCAATGGCATAATAAAGATACGTAGGAGACCCACTTGGCGGCTGGAGACGTTAGGTAACGCACATACTAAGGGGGACAAAGGCAGCAACGGTGAAACGGGTGTGGCAGCATGCGCGAGCTGCGAAGCATCCTGGCGAATGGACGTCCGCCGCATCCTCATGCCTTGGAGACAGCAACGAATAACGACGCATTGAACAACGGCCAACAAGTATCTTGAACGAAGTATCGATTTGTAACGAAGATCTGGCAGGAATCAGCTGTGTATTTGACGTGGGCTGGACACATTGATGTCGCTTCAATCGTTAATGGCTTGAGGATAGGGTCAATTCAAGAGGCCTGTGAACTTGTACGCTGATCAGTTTGATAATTACGCATGCATTCAGTTCTTACTAGAGATGCAACCACAATTCATCTTACCACCTCGTCGGATGGTCCATTTTCCCTGAAGGAAGGAAACCCTCAGACCGTGAGAGTTGATTGTTATCATGCTAGAAGATGAGACATAAGGGAGATGAAGATAGCCTTCAAAGATGATGTGACCAGTGGTGATGTTTTCTACGAGGATGAAGACAAAGCAGAACGAGAGCAGAATGGATGACCCACGAGGCTTTGCGAGCAGATAATGGGAAGGCTGTGCAGCTAATTTGTAGACCAAGGTAGACCATTAGCCGTAACTCGTAGTAGCGCCGAGGACGGTCGGTGATGCACGGAGCAAGAGCCGACAAAAGCCAAGACGGCGTCCGGATAATTACAATTTTCCGTCAACGCTAACCCATATCTGGACTGTCGCGCCTTATCCCACGAGCCTTTCCTCGGCATTTGCGGTCGAATTTCTTCCAAGGCTCCCACGGTGGCTGGCAGGTCGAGTCGCTTCTCCGCTTTCCACCAAGTTCGTCTCCCAGCCGACTTCATCTTCCCCTCTCTCTCCATGAGGGGCTCCATCTCCACACCTAGCATCAAAGCCAGGAAGATACGAGGCTTCAGGAAACTATGGACACAACGCAGTCAACTGGCGGTGGTGGCAGAGTCAAAAGAAAGCAGTCGGGCAACAAGACCAAGACGCTGCCTTGCCCGCACTGCCAACGACTCTTTGCTCGGCTAGTAAGTCATCCAGCCTCCGGTCTTCCATTCCTGGTTCGCATTGAGATCGATGGCCCGGCGACCGCAGACGACTGATGAGAAAATCTGTCGCAACTAGGAACACCTTCAGCGGCACATCCGCACCCATACAAAAGAGAAACCCTTCGTCTGCGAGATTTGCTCCAAGACATTTGCGCGGAGTGACCTGCTGGTGCGTCACGAGAGACTCGTCCATCCAGACGAGGAAGAGCAGCATACCACACGGAAGTCACACAAGCACCACATCCAAAATGCCATCGCGGCAAAGGAGGCCGCAGCCCGCGCGCTGGCACAATATGGATCTTCGAACCATTCCGAACCAATGGACACCGCGCCGCAGCAGAATCAGGCTTTGCTGTCCCCTCAAGCTGCGCACGAAGGGAGAGGGATGATGGATATGCTGGATCCGCAGCTCATGCAACCTGCCAACGGCATCAATTCGGTGGATGGAATGTCTACGCACCAGTCATCCGTGATCAACGCCCCATCGCTCGATCCGTCCTGGGGTTACGACTTGAATCTGCTCTCCCACGCCGCGAGCCATGTCGCGTCTAGTGGCCAGGACCACTACATGTCCGGTTTGCCGCAAGTTACGCGAGAACAGCTCAATGAGCCATTGCAACAGATAATGCCGGCAGTGACAGAAGGGCAATACCAGCCTAGAATGCTGACCGAAGGCTACGGCCAGCCGACCCCTATGTTCGAACCGCCTGACCTCGGTGATCCAATGCAAGACTTCACCGTCTTTCTTGATAGTGTCGGCCTTTCATCCG